TAACACAATATATATTTCACAAAATCCATTACAATATTTCAACGGGATCGATAAATCAGGATTATTTTGAGTTGAAATCGTAAACAATAACAGGCTAATAGCTATATTGGGAACTATTATTTAGTCTTCATTTGAATGAATTTGGGTCACATGTTTATTAGTTGTAATTTATTTTTAAAATGCCTGAATTACACATGTGAAAGAAAATATATTTTTCTTTAAAACTTTTTGAATGAAAAATTATCGTTAATTGAACAACAAAGTACATAGAGAATATAAGTATTAGTAAAAATGTGACACATTCTTCATATTTGAATTTTAAAAATATTTTTAAAGGCATTTCTATGAAAATTCATACTATATACTTCAATTATCATTTATTATAGACAAAAAAAATATTCAAGTAAAAACCTTAATTGTTGTCATCAATAATTATTGTCAAATAATAAACAAAATTCGTTAACACATTTTCTTACATAAACGTTTGATAATGTTTGTTTTATTAAGACTTTCTATTGAAAAGTTTTACATAGTGTTATATTTTTTTTTATATTTAATGATCAAGATTGTATTGGGAATTAGACGCAATACTATTATAATACCATTTTAAAACCTAATATAAGAAATTAAGAAATATAACGAAAAGTTATATTACCGGCAATCTGGTGAAGGTCGCGGGAATCCGCTGTATACGGGTGGGACAAGACCGGTCGTCGTGGAGATCCTTGGGGGAGGCCTATGTCCTGCAGTGGACGTCTTTTGGCTGATGATGATGATAAGAAATTAAGGTTCACTTTAAATTTTACCTATCGACCTATAAGTGGTCTTTATTGTAAAATAATCCATTATATTTCATATTTGTATGAATCCTACTTCGATATATAATCCTTAGTTTTAAAACAGTATTTTTTCTATAATGAAATTAATTTAAAATTTAAATAACAATAACTAAAGGTGTTCTAGCATCGAATAATGTTAACTCGAAATGAAAATACCATACACTTATGAAATACGTAAGTGGAGTTATGCTTAAAATTTCCCACTTCTGTTTAAAACTCAACTTCAGATATTATAGTTGCTTACAAAATATAAAAATAACTGCCTCGTTAATTTAAGCTCTTATAATTTTAATATAAACAATTTGATATAGAAGAATCACTCTTAACTCTTAAGTACTTTATATGCAGATTACAAAAAATAAGTTATGTCCAATTGAAAAGAAAATTCTTTTATTGAAATTAATAAAATTAGTTATTTACAATAACTCGTATATATTTTTATTTTCTCCAACATTTAGTGTAATAATTCAATAACGTCTATCTTTTGATAAAGAAAGACAACAGTAGTACCTACTTCTTACTTGAAAATATTATTCAAATTAATGTAAAACAAGTAATAAATAGCTCAACTATACATTCCACACATTTTTATCTACTAGCAATTATAATCATAGAACTATAAGATTTTTTTATCTTAACTTTCAATAGTTCAATTGATAGTAACAATATTTCTAATCGTTTTTTATTACGTTAACACAATTCCAAAAACGATATCTTTTCATTTTTGAAAAAAGCATATAGAAAAACAAATCTCATTCTGTCTGTTATATTTTTTAATTAAATATTGAAATGAAGTATTTAGAATAATATAAAAGGAAAATGTTAATGAACTATAAATATATATATTTTTTTCTCACGGAATGTTGAGTTGTTATACAACTAAGGGAGACTTCATAAAATACGTGAGATGTTTAAAAGGGGGGAGGGGGTTTAGTCAAATCTCATCTAATCTCAAGAAGGAGGGGGGGGTCTCGGCAAATATCACGAATTTATTTATTTTTAAATGAAACAAAAAATACATATTATATTAGTCAATTTAATCCAAATTGTACATGTTAAGATTTAATCTTGAGCATAATCGGAATACGATTTAGATCGTTCCCTAATTCGTTCTAAATAAATAATTTCATTCATACTTCAACGTTATAAATTTACTGACTGACTTGTCAAGTCACCATCCCCCATGAAAAAAATATATACAAAGTATATTTTAAAAAACTCTGAGCAATATTGATTACTAGTCTTAACTAGCCGTAAATAAGAATACAAAGCAAATTTTCTTTTCTTTTTACAATAATAATCTAAAGCATTTACGTAAGAAACCTACATTTTGAAAAATCTCACGTGAGATAGAGGGATGAGGAAAGGGGGTTGAATAAAATCTCACCACCACCAAGAGGACCAATCTCACCAAGGGGGGAGATTCGGAAATTTCAAAAAATACCTCACGTAATTTATAAACGCCCCTAATAGGAATAAAAATTTAAAGCACCTATTTCAGAGGTTGTCGATTTAATATGAAAATATATGTTTTCTTTTTTGTCTTTTTTTTTTTCTAAAAACCGTTAAGTGTAGATAAATATCAACTACTCCTAATTTCAATAGCCTCTCAAGATATTGTTGACACGCCACATAGCCTTAGCCGGCATCTTTACAACTGGGTCACTTAATTGTGAAGATTTTTGGAATAGAACTGCGAACTCGTCAATATAGAAAAGGTAAATTATCTCATATCTAGGTTTTTGCTAATTTAATTTTCTTTACATGTAAATTTAGAATATAAGTGACTTTTTTGGTTATTGAAAGCATTTATAAAATACATAGGTATTTAATTACGTCAATTTGAAATGGTCCTCTAGATGTAATTATTTACATAAAAAAGAATAAGATTCTATAACGGAAACAAACTGATTTCTAAATTAAATAGAAGTGTATCCGATCTGAAACGAATTTCATTTCTGGGCCCCTATAAAAAAATAATTTAAACATTTGATTTGCAGTTTAAAATACATTTTAAGAAGGATAAATACTCTAAAGAACTACAGACAAACTTCACAATCGCGACTCTATGGGCCTCTCATATCATTGATTTGGAAATCAAAGCTTTAAGATCAATGATAATTTCATATTCTAAATAATAAATGAGCGGCCAACATCTAATATCGGAGGAAGTATAAATGAAAATGAATCAAGAAAAGTAAAATAGGGAATAATAAATTTAAAGGGTAGCTTCAACGCTACAATTGTCTTTAAATCTAACCAAGATACTTTAGATCCTAAGATTAACAAAACATAGGGTACCAAAATAGGTAGGTACATTTCATAAACTTAATAAAGTGTAATAAAATGCAAACCTCTTTTGACTTGATTGATTTTTGATATATATGAAGTCGTTATTGCTATTTTATTCTTTTTAACATAAACTAAATTAATAATAAACTAAATAAACAAAATTCTTAATCCTTCACTATAAACAGACAGTTTGTTGTTTTTCTTATGTGTATAGTGTAATGAAATTTTACTTACGATTACTTTTAAATTCCGCTTCCCTTCTCAACTACACTTAGAGATTTTGCGAAATGTAACAGATCATACGCTGTAACTCTTACATATTTCTGCCATAAGACCCGTAATTTTGAATAGAATTAAAGGGTAAAAAATAGGCTTAATTTAAATTTTTTGAGACCGTTTCAAAAATAATGTGACATTAATAAAAATCAAATCGTTTTGTGAAACATAACCCTCCTGGCAGCAGTCGGATTAAAAAGCGTAACATGATGCTTAAAACTGAAACATTTGTTTCATTCTTACTGGATTTTGAATTAATTTCCTTAGTCTGCAAAATTACTCGATATAACAGTAGTATAGGCAGCAAGATAAAGGATCTATTTAGAAACCTTAGGAGAAGAGAATCTTCCACACAAAAAAAAAAAGTACAACAAAAATTGATCGCATTAAACAGATTTAATATGATTTTAAGATCCTTATTTTAGTAAAGTTTAAAAAGTAAGAATTTTCTGTAGAAAACTAATTCATTTATATAAATGCAACGAAATTATTTCAATGTTTCACTTTTACTGTTGTACATAACAAATAATTCTACCACAGGGTTCTACCAACAATGAATGTTGAATAGATAATGAGATCTAAGACTCCCCCGAGTATTCCTTTGAAGGAAACTTATAATTATCTTCGTAATACTTCGCGTATTTTATTATTTTAAACCTACATACTACCAATGTTTCGGTTATTCTGCAGCAACCGTGATCTCCGGCAGATGAGATGTGATTCCCATAGTAATATTAAGATATTAGTTTCATTTATATTTATTAGATTTTTGGTAATAAAATGACATATCAGGTTATTTTACTATGCTTTAATAAATAAGTCGTTGTTGAATACAATTCAATGTACATAGTTTATTTTCTACAATATCTACAATAATCTTATACTAAAGGATTATTATACATATAAATCTATTATACACATCATGTTTCCTTAGTATATAATTCTTAAATAAGGGATAACAACAGTTTTTAACCCTAAGGAACTAAGAAATTATAAAATAAACATACTTTTCATGTTTCTATGAAAATATGTTATAACATATGTATGAAAATAATATTGCGATTTATTTTTAAATTATAATTCGGTCATGTGGAGCTGATTTTAATACAATTTTAAATTCAAGCAAACTCATACATACATGTAATGCTTAAAATTAATAGATAATGATGTTTTTTATAACAAAAAAAGTAGAAAAATTGTTCTTTTTTTATACTAAAAAAGGAAGAATAAGCTTGATTGTAAGTACATACTGTTTTTAATTAGTTACTTTTACTTGATTTTTGCTTCCTTGTAAACTAGGATCAGGTACAATAAATCAGATCATAAGAAAATATCAATCAATAAAAATTCTTTTGCTCCTTTCAATAATTGTGTAATAATTTTGGTAACCAGTCAAGCATACAAAAATCTATTCATTTTTGTTTTTATGCATTTATTTATATACATCCTAAAATCATCACAAAACCTATATTAAAACTTTCAGCAAAATATTGCCTTAAAACGTTGTTATTTCATCGTTCCTAGTGATTTGCACAGCACTTTAATTATAAAAGGTCAATAAAATTTAGGGTCTTCACCCCCAAAAGGCCTGTCCTAGGTCTCACTATACACTGTGTTATAAACCAGTTCTTGTATCTTCATACGTAGCATCAATTTCTTCGCTGGCAGCAGTTTCTTAACATGAGGTATAAGACTATTGAAAAAGCCGATATCTTCGTCTTTAGCTGGTTCAGGAGTACCAATATTTCCAGCCACTTTTTGGGCTTCATCATCATCGTCGTAAAAATCTGTCTCCATTATGATAGGTTTTGTATCGAATTCGTCGAATTCATCATCTTTGACACTTATATCATTTGTTGGGGCTGGTTCCAAGTAGTAACTGCTGCTTTGTTCAGGCGTGGGTTCGAAGTCCTGGTTAAAGTGGTCGTCCGTTGTATCATGACCTTCGTAGTCATTAAACTGGTTGGTTAAGAACTGAAGCTTCGGAAGGTATTCCCATTCCGATACTTGCTTACGACATTCTTTTCTGGCTTGGTCGCGTAGATATTTCCATTTAAGCCTGGCTTCATCGCCTGAAAAGTAAATGAGAAATAGTTTGATATTAAAACATAGAAGCATTATATCGCTTATAAAGAGAGTAGAGATAATATATGGAGGAAAAGAGAATGTTTAACCCAGAAGACTTAAGCCAATTTTATGAGATGAAAAGGTCTATCAAACAAGCTTAATGAATTCTTCCCAAATAACACTTACGCGTCACTCCAAGCTGTTGAGAAATCTCCTTCCAACTCTCATCCAGTTTGTACCAATTGTGATGTCCCTTCAGCTGTCTGTTCCATATAATCTCCCTGGCCTGCACTAGTTCTATCAGCTTGTCCATATCAACGTCAATGGTTCTTCTCTTATTCATAAGCAGTTTCTTTCTCATTGTGTAACCCAACTTCGGTCGTTTGATAGATTCGTCCAAGCCATTGAATACTTCATCTGTAGTATCTTCATCACCTTCCTCTTCTTCAGCCAGGAACTGATGATGAATGAACTTCAATTTCTGGAAGTGAGGCCATTCCGATTCGTTGTTCTTTTTCATCTCTTTCCGACATTGGTCCTTTAGGTTCTTCCATCTCTTTCTGCAATTAATACCTGAAATATGACGATTTTAAATTAATACCTAATTTATTTATGATTAAGACGATCGGCACGTAATATTATGATGTACTCAATTTATTTTATGCGTTTTTTCAACGCGTTGCTGAGTAATTATGAGCGCATTATAAATTATTGGGTCAAATATATAAACTTTTTCTGATAAAAGAATGATATAAAAATGATTTTTTCAAGCATATTTCTCATTCATACTTATTTACACAAATATTTACGATATTTATAGGACATGATGGAATAAAAAACGAACAATAATCACTTTGTAATTTCTAATAAAGTTTATATGAAAAGTTTAAATTATCTTAAATGACTTTGTATATTTATAACTAACTAAGCCTATTATAAGTTTTCATAGAAATAATATCTTATTAAATAAATTATGTATTTACTTTGTTACTTAATCCGACAGACAAACAATCAAATCTTCATAATATTAAGATAATAAAAATGCCATACATAAAAGAATAAGGTTACCTATTAACGGTTATCATTCAAATTTATGGGCTGTTATTTGACTGGGCCTAAATCAAAAAAGGCAATTTTTTGTTGTAACCTACTTGTACTACTTGGGAAGTTGAAAGAAGTCGTAATAATTAGCATACGTAAATATAATGATATAAAAACTATGTTTGAAACGCAATAATTAGGAATACCAATTTCATTTTCTTCAAAACCGAGACGGTGTTAAAATAAAATAGACGAAATTCGGAATAAAAAAAACAAATATTTAACTTATATTTTAAACCTAATTTACATAAAACTTGAACAGAAGTAACAAACAACCAAAGGTACACTAAACCGTAACTTAATAAAAAAAACGACTGATAAAGAAACAAAATCAATTACCAATTAAAAGAATTAGAAAAAGGAAGTTTATCACGAAAAAAGCAAACAATTGTGACTTATTTAATATTATTTCTAGCAACTTTTTAATACATTATTATTTATCTATTAATTATTTTACGAAAACGCCTTATCATCTTACGCGGAACCATTAAAACACTACCTAAAGATAAAGCGTGCCCTAAAATGTGTATTATATATTGAGAGACGCTATCTTGACACCGTATAACAAAATAAAACAAAATGTAAAATCATTAAATATTAAATAACTTCTCAAAATCATAAGAAATGAAGTTGATAATAGATTCATATTATCATTTATTATTTTCTATGTAATTATATTATTTAGTTATGTGTGTAAAAGTAGCTTTCTGAACACAATTAGTATATAGTACTCGTAAGTTATGAATACTATTTTTGTGATATATAATATATAATCCTTATATTAAAAATTAAATATGTTTATATAAAATAAATAATAAAAACAACATTGAAAGTATTGTAAACTAAAATTAGTTTTAAGACGCATATGATACATTTCACAAAACAACGAAATTGACAAAGGCGTACAAAAAATGTCACTTAAAATGACAGGTCAATACAAGCGTTAGCGTTGCCGATGCGTCAAGCGGATTCACAAACAACGCTAACAAAATGGCGGAACTACATACTCACTTGTAGTACCGACTTCCGCGGCCACTTCGTTCCAATAACGCTCCAACTTAAACCGATTCCTGTGACCTCTGTAACTCTTGTCCCACAAGCATTCGCGTGCTTGGACAGCGGCTATCAGCTTGTCCATGTTCTTGGACCTAGCTCCCTTCACTTTAACCTTCATAGCTTAGCGGGTGCGACAGCGGACACACGGCACGAGCGAAGCGTGTCGCTATACTGACGCTGCCCGCTCCCCGCCCCGACAGGCCATACTCCCCGCTCGTCGCCCTCTCCCCTCTACGTGAACGATATGCCTCGTCGGATTCAGTTTAAAATACAACTATTCAACAAGTATACTCAGTATTAAATATATTTATATCCTTACACAGTTACATTATTTTAGTACGTTTTAGTCATTATCATAGACTAATGTCGTATTATTTATTGTTTATAATAAAGAAAATTACATTTATATGTAGTGGTATATAGTGAAGTAACCTTTATTTAATAAACCGAGACAGAATTTGATATTCACCTACACCTAAACATAATAAATATAAAAAACTAAAAAGAAGTACCTAATTCATAATATTTATAATAACAAATTTGTATATTAAAAATACCTTTGTACTGTATAAAGGATATTTTAGCCATTTCGCGAAGTAATAAACATTTTCCTTAACACAAATTTTTCATCCATAAATTGTCAGCGACAAAAATACGTACAATGATTAATGAAAAAAAAGGTCGACTGAATAAAAAAAATGAATAACGAATAGCGGTTTATCTCAGTAGATGATTGTATTTCACTAAGTAGAGGTAGTTCTATGTAGTATATGGTAATTCAATGTAGGTATAATATACTTAGTTTTACTGAAATGAGTATATCACATTTTGAATTAAAATGTACAATTCTTAATTTATTTATTTAGGTCTCATTAGACGTTTGAATCTCTCATTATAATCATGTATTTGTATGTAAGGTTACATTTCATTCAATATTAAACATCATAATTATTGGTTTATCGTTATTTGGTTCAGTTCTTACACATAAGTTTGGTTTTATTTTTATCGGCGACTTAGCTAAATTTCATGAAGAAAATCCGTCAGTACAATTTGTTTTAAAAAACTTTCCAAAAGACACTATCTTTGTAGTATCTTTCAAATAATGGCATCGCATTATTAATTTGTGTTTAGAAATGTCTGTTTTGCAACTTAGGTAAATAAGATATTTCAATTTATCGTTACTTTTTATAATTCTTTACATATTTTATTTATACGTCATATACATATATAATTATTATTTTAATTTTTTAACAGGCACGACTATATATAAGAATGAATATAAAGAAGAAAAAATAATACGAGTCGAAATATAAAGCCACGCTCTATAAAGCATTTTAATCCTAAGATTGACCTGGTCACAGTCGTATGTTTAACTTTATAAGATATTCAATTTAATGAGAACTACGTGGATGAAGCAAAAAGACTTTTACTAAAAATATCAGAATTCTACTCCAATTTCAAATATGTATATGTATATTCAACAGATATACTAATCAATATAAAACTTCATAACACATATATAATAACAGAAAGAATTCACCAAACAAAAAATTTAGAAACAAAATTTTGTATTACTTGCGATTCTAGGTAAAAACACGGGGTTAATAAGACAATATGTTTTTTAGTATAAAAAATTAGATGATAAGAATATTCTTTCTTCATCCTATTTAGATAAAGCTTCTAATGTTATTCGATTTAGAATTAAATACAGTTATCTTTCCAGCTTAAATAGTCTCTAGCAAAGACACCAAGAATATACATAGGTTGAACTATGAACCCATTTCATTCTTATTAATAAACGGGTCACGTGTGGAATAAGCCTCTGGTTTATGAGTTTGATTACTTGAGGTGGGATATATGATGGTAATAATTTATGAGTATGCCAGAAATATGAGGACATTCATGTACATTTGTGTGAGTAAAAATTTGTAGGTACCTATATGTTTTCACACGATTATCTATATAAATTTCTCAAATAAAATAGGTATTGCTTAAAACTTCCAAAGAGAATATTTCGCTCTAATACTTTTGAAACGTAAAAGTTTTCTAACATTGTTTGATTCTTTACTGTTAAGTAATATCTGGGGTATAGGTAGGTACATGAAATGATTAACAATCACAATTAATTTATAAATATAATATAAATAAAATGTGAACAAAAAAACTTTGCAAATTATTGAAAGTATAGAAGTCATGTAAACAAACTGGTAGGATTAACTAAGCTACGAAAGTATACATCATTATTTTATAGACTATAGATAAAACTTGCTAAACTTTATTTACTTACTAGACACAAGTTTCTGTCCTGCATAATTTAATTCCTAAAGTGAAGAAAACCAACCCAATCATTTTCATTGTACGTTATAATATTTCCATTCAGTTTATTCGCTCATTACGCAGTCAGACTTTTATTTATTATTTGATCAATCAAATTTATGTATTATAAATAAGGTATCTACTATCTGTCTAAAAATTACAATACTTAACTATATTGATTGAAACAAATAAACCAAGTTTCGGTTCCTTTACAGCAGATGATATGAGAAGAAAGTGTTTGATAGTTAGCATACTTAAAAAGCGTACCCTTAAACTTACTATCCAGAAAATTGATTTAATTTAAATGTCTACACATGCAAAACTAAATCATTCTTGAAGCCATATTAGGTTTTCCCTATGGGAGGCCATTGTTAAGTGGTTATATCGTCCTCTAATTTGGTCATCTATAATAAATACTACACAGCAATAAAACCAAAAATATTGTCTCATATCCTATTGTCAATACTTATTGGTTATTGAGTTTCGTTACAATAAAAATGTATTGCTTTGACCTTTCAACCTATATTGATAAACTATTAATACGGGCATTTCGTTTCGTCTCGAAACAGACTTTAGGCTGGCTTGAATATGAAATAATAGTACAAGTATGACATACTATCTACTAATAGTTTGATGTATGGGTGCTTATTAATTTTATATAAAGACGTAAGCGGATTACTTCTAGGCTTATAGGAGTATAAACTAAAATTTAAAGCGTGACAAGCATCAGTTATTAATGCTGTTAAAAACTATGAAGCATAGTTATAACTACATATACACATAAATAATGATACACAAAGACCAGGGAATTCACAAATATATCATAGATTAATTGACAATTCTATTTTCAATGTTATATTCCTTCACATTTTAGAATACAAATAAACATAATCCTTATGTTCTTGTCTATTACCAAATGCAGTTAGTATTACTCTAACTTTTATTTCATTTAGTTACAAGTGTATATGTTTAAAATATTTATTATATATAAACAAAACAATACAAACAAAGTTATACAATTAAATTAATATTATCTCTCAAAGTAAACGATCACGAAGCGCTCTATAAATTGAACTATAACTTGATATTTTATTAAGCTTCCACACTAGCTATACGCGCTAAGTTAGTTTACATAATTAAGTTAGTGAACCAGTGCGCATGAGTCAACTGAAGATCAGGTCAAGAGTTCTGTACACATCAGTCTGGGAACAGTTTGTACTCATACGGCGGCATTCTGTTTAATTCAATTAATAATTGATCTAACACAGTGACTGTATAATAGTGTGAATGTAGCCACAAATTGACGTGCTCACGGCTTTGGTATGTACATATATAATTAATTACATTCTATATCTTACAAAGGATATAAATTAATACTTTATCGTTATTGTTGAAGTGAAAAATTTATAAATTATTTAATATCGAATTAATAAAAGACGCTGAAAGTCTAATTCCATTTTTATATTACTTTTTTTATCAATATTCTTTTTTAGTAAACCCAATATCATAATCAGTAAATCCTATTTCTGAAGAATATATCAGTATTAAATTTATATTACTCAAATAATAAGTAAATATAGTCTAAAATATAATGTCACATTATTTTCACGCGATCGTAAGCACGTTTCTAACAAGAAACGTGACAACCTAATGCCGTGTAGTCTTTAATCGTTTAAAAGGTTTTCGATGCGTTGACATACTGTCATCATTTTAATATTATCTTCATTAATACGAGTTTTATAATAAAAAAATATTAATATAAAATTTAATTCATTTCTTACAATAATACTTTGTTCCTATTATTCAAATGCAGACTGGTACATAATCACAAACTGAAGCGTGATTATACAAGTTTTGTTATAGACTTTTAAAATAGAATTACCTCTAAATATACCTTTGATCATATAAGAATCTTCTTCTTCCTGACAATTTCCCAGCTTTAGCCAGGGTCTGCCTTCCTGCTTAAGGTGATCATATAAGTATATACTAATAAAAAGATATTCCTATAACTTTGTAGTCACGTTGCGAGTTGAATGTCGTAGGTGTAGACAAACCGGTGGCTTGGGCTTCACATTGCTTGTTCTATTTGCGATTAAATATTACATTGCAAATAGAAATTATATTACTGAAGTGATTGAGATAATATGAAATTAGATATAAGTAAATTTCTCAGTATATTGTTTGTACTTTATGAAAAAAATGCAATATATGTATAATGTCTATAATCAAAAGAATTAAAAACTAGACAGAAATTTAGCCAGTTTTTAAGAACTATCTAATAAAACTTCAGATCTTTTCGAATAAAATTTAGATCAAATAAATCACATTGTATTATTTGCACGAATCTTTGAAATCGTAAGCGTTTAACTTTACGATTCTAAGTCCCGCTAGGTTCAATATCAATAGAAAGATGTATGAAGATATGTTTCACAAGAGAAGTTTTATAAAATGAATTATTTATTACATAATATTGTTTTACAGGTGTTTATCAACGCATGGCGGGATCTGGGAACCATGTCGGGTATGACGGGAGCGAGTATGCTGCGCACGCGCAGGAAAGATGTCAACGTCAAACCCAACAGGAAGTAAGTTAGATTTTTTTTACATTTTAAAATTTACGTTATGTTATGCCTGTGTTATAGAATAAAGATGATGAAAAGAGGATTTTAAAGAAGAAGATATGATTTAAATAATATTCTAGAAGAATTAGAAAAACTTTAGTTCTACTACCAAAACTCTCTTCAATATTTATATGATATCTTTTTATAAGGATTATAAAAAATTTGGTTTGGTTTTAATTAATTTGGTTTTTGCTACCAATGTGATTTTTCCGAGACTTATAATTTTGCAATTATAAGTTTGAAATCACCAACCCGTCTTGAACAAGTGTGGTGATTAATGCTCATACCTTCTCCATGTGAGAAAGAGGCCTTTGCTCAGCAGTGGGCGTTGATAGGCTGATGACAAAATATTATGTTAATTTACTTTTACTTTGTAGATTGGATCGCAAATCCTCGCGGGGTATGCTTTACGAAAACGAAGAACTTCGTCTGCGAACTATTAATATTAACGCTGAAGTAGAAAGAGGTAAGAATATTTTATCATAAAAATTGTATGAAAAGAAATACATAAACATATATATAACAGCTAAATCTCTCCATAACCTAGTAAAAGACTTGGGCCTGTCCAGAACTCATATTAATACATTCTTGAAACGTCGAAGGCAGCCGTAGTAGGTTCTTTTCAAATTTGGTTAGGTAGGGAGAGGAGCTTGGACAGTGGAGGTGAGCGTTTAACGCGTGTTAGTTGGGGCCCCTTAAAGCTACACCTGGGTCGCAAGTCCCAGTCACTGTTGAAGCTCCTCTCACTACAACGATGGACCCGACACACGCACGGGGAATACATTGAATGCTAAGAGGTTTCGTCTCTCGTGAGTCTTCTGAAATAAACTTTACTACAACTATTTATATATAAAAATAATATTTGTCAACAGGTCAGTCGGATATAAAAAAGTTAAAACGTGAAAACGAACAACTCAAACGTGAAATATCAGCACTAAGATACGAATACGATCGTTTGGATCGTATGCTACGGGAGAGACGATCGTCGCCGGAACATTCGGACGTATGTACAACGAAAAACTATGCAATGTGTATAAAAGTTACTATTAATTATAATAAAAAAAACATTAATTAATTGGATCATATAGATGTATCACTTTGATTGAAAATATGCTTGGTAGTGTTACGAAAAGGAATTATATCTAATAGTAGAAAAAAATATATATTTTTAAATGATTTAAACAGAACAAAATTCAAACATACATAGACATAATGTAAGTCATGTTACGTGTGAGTCTTACTTTAGTTTATGAAATCTGTCAAGATTGTGCATGTATGTGTTTTTTTAATTCATTTCTATATATTTTTATTTGTAGGATATTTTCATTTTATTTTTCTTTATATATTTCTCTGCATGCACCTTTAGTCTCAAGGCGATAATAATGATTCGGAATATCAAAATGTAAGTCTTTAATTATAGACGCTTTGATTAATTTATATATGAATTATTTATATTTATCTAATAGATTTTAATGTAATGTTGCATGGATAGGAACAAGAGATTTATGAGGAGGAAGAAGACTATAGCGTAAGTGACAGTGGAATCTGGATTTCATAATGTGCTGTCCGTTTTTTTTTGTGTGTTTCATACAAGAAATATAAAAAATCTCTCAGTTAGTACATAATTAACATAACTTTAACACATCAACAAGCCCCAACCTTTGTTTCTCATAGTATTAGTGTATGACATTGTATTACATTTATAGAAGAAAATCATCTTATTTTCTCAGTATAAAATCTCATTGTCTCGAAACTCGAAATTATAATGTTCATAAGAAGATTAAAATACGAAACCCGAAAACTTATCTTATGTGTAAGGTAATAAAGCACAGTATCGTGTGGCAGGACAGCGCGTCAGTGTGCAGCGCTTGCCCGGAGTGCGCGAGCGCAGACGGCAGCGTTCGAGCTGTTGCCTTTCATGATCTGAGCGTGGTGCCGGAGGAGGGGGAACAGGAGAATAAGGTATACAACAATATTAGGATATAGGGTATATAAATAAAATAAAGGAGTATTATACTAGGATAATATATTTATAAATGTATATACATAACCTAGATCGTCATTTGATTTGTAGATCATTCAAATAGGGTCTAAGGATTTGATTAATTTCACTGCTATTTCTGATATGAAATGGGTTTCTGTTAGATTATATTCTTGGTATAAAAAGGCCATACATTATACTAGCGTAATAAATATTTATATATGTTTTTATTTCTTTAATATCATCTTATCGTCGTATAAGCTTATTTAATAAATTATTATAGATGAATATCTACAGACCATAACACGGTAATTAGTGAATGTTGATTCATACAAATTATTTTAAGAGAACATTCTACGTTTTCACAACAATCAACGTTAATATTACATAAATCGACGGCCGTACAAAATATTTGCATCAATACTAGTCCTAGTTTCTCACTGAAATAGATCCATTAGATAGTAAATTGTTGGAAACCGTAAGAGCTGGTTCTCCTGTCAGAATTTTGGCTGGAGATATGTGAGCCAAGGGCGGCCATCGTAAAAAATATTGTGGCAACTATATACTTATAAATAAACTCAGTTTTGTTCCGTCGCTCGCCTGGATAGCTGTGTTGTGATTTGTGTCATGAATATCCGTGGGATATGATGGTGGTTTGTGTTTTAAGAATATGCATGATAATTATATTATTGCACTTCGCAATTAATGTACCAATTCATTCTCTGTGAATTTTTTTTGCCCTAGAACTGTAAATAATTATATTTTATACATAGCGAAAACTTTACAGGTGTTATTTTTGAGATAATTATTAAAATTGTTGTTAAAGTAATCGAAAATATATGAGAAAAATAATGTCAGTTTTAATATTATTATATCTGTATAGTGGGATCTATGACGAAGGACTGTTTAAAATTCAGGCTCTAACTACGGAAGTGTGACGCAGGTCGTCCAAAATCATAATACTAACGTGACAAATCTGTCGAGATGACGTTACTACTAATTCTGAAACATATAACACTCAGAATGAACAACAGCTTTGTTTTAAAATAAATTTAACAAATAGGTACTAAATAACTTGCTCATGACTCTTTGAAATCTTGTTCTGCTTTTTACATTTCGACATTTCTTTAATGAGATTAATACCTATATTTGAATGCATCATACGCAGAAATGTGAATTAAATTGCATCAAATTTGAAATTATATTGGAAACTCGCAACTCATGCTTGGCGTTATCACAATATTAACTATAAAAACAGCACTTGAGAATTATATTTATAGTGTTATTGAACCATCACATCATTTATATTTAATACGCACGGAGTTTACGAAATGAAGTAAGCGTTTTAAAATATAAACAGTGTAAATTCATGATTTATCATTTCAGAGCGGTGCAGCAACCCCCTGCACTTGTGAGGAGTGCCAGAAAGAAGCAAAGCGTACGGAAGATAACAATCAGAATAACGCCAAGGACGCCGTTAATAAAACAACAGAAAAACAGACAGATACTACAAACAATGCACAATCACAAGCAAATACATCGAACAACGCCTCCGACAGAACTGTAGACGTTTTAGTTCATGATGCTCCGAATATACCAAGATATTTCCAATCCATAGCGGCGCCGCCATTTCATGTTAATGTACCCCCTCCACCCGGATTTGTCATTGCGCCTTACCAACCGCACAGATTTCATAATGGGGGTAACATAGAGGACTTATTGGGGGATGTACAATCATCACCCACCACCATACAGACTACTTACATTCAACAAAACTCCATATTCATGTGCAACACCAGAAATATCGTAGAGACAAAATGTTGTTGCCACAATCGGGAAACAGACAATAAGACTGAAGTTTGTGAAGAGCAAACACCAAAATGCTATGTAACGGAGAAGAATATAGAATTAACTTATGATTATCCTAGGACAACACCCATTCCAAGTGATCCGAATCAGAAAACTAGCGAAATACAGTCCACAACGACAGAAGTAGCGAGCACGGTTGTTTTTGTAGAGAAAAAAATGCCCACGAAACCAAAGAAATTCGATTTCTTCTTCCGATCACGATCAGCGCCTGTTGGCGACCACGAGGAACCGATTTATGCAACAGTCAACAAACTACCAAGAAAATTAAGAAGAATGGAATTAGCTAACCTCGAAAAAGAGGTTTCGTATAAGAATGGGGAACCAGATTCTTCAAGCCGCACTGAAATAACTTTAAGAACAGATTCGGAATCTCAGGCACCACCACCAGATGATGATACAAGTCGCTCGGAAAGAGAAAAATCCACTGTAGCTCAAAGACCAGAATCACCGAAAGCAAAGAAAAGAAAGCGATTTTCCCTCACATTCAAAAAGCGCGAAAGAAAACGGAGGGAAAAGAAAGCCGAGGCGAAGAATGGCGTAAAGAATGGAGTTCCAGCACAGGTTGAAAGTGACAATGAGAGGCTAATCGAGGAACAGGATCCTAAACACAAGCACTGCACAAGACATCGACAGTTACCACGAAGTGCTATGTCCTCTACCAGCTATAGCCCGCGTTACAAGCGGGATAGCTATCAGGTACTTAAGATAATTATTAGAAAGACTGCTGGATTAAAGCAGTCAAACGCTTCTGCATGACTCGTAAATAATGTAGCTTGCTAAAGTAACCCATTTCCATTGAAAACTCATATGTTTAGAGTTAATGTAAGCTTATATTATGTATGTTTAAGTTATTACATTATATTCACGCATATTTTTCGTATTATTATAATCCGCACCTGACACCACAAACACCATCATACTTCCAACATTTTGGGGCAGACTGGCTTTTGAAGCCCGTCATTTTTTGTAGATACATGAATATCAAACATTCTTATATGCTACGGTAATTTGCGACGGTAGGATTATATATCATTAGGAAACTATATCGCGATCGAATAACACATGTCATAGCCCATAATCCTATGGTAAGCTATTTAGAATTTTATGTTAAAAATAATATGATATCTCGAAAATAATATGTATTTAAATTGCAGGAAATGACCACATCCCATTCAGAGCATGAACGTACGAACAGCGTTTGTTCTTCGGTAAATTCCTTAGGATCAGCTTGTACTCATAAATCTCGGAAGCTATCCGTCGCTCCTCAAGACGGATCTATACCCTGGTGTGGATGCTGGGGAGCCGGATGTGTGTGAAATTGAACTCTATTCCACCTTATCTTAAAGGTTAATTTGGCATACTTCTTATTGGATTACATTAGTAGCGGGTGTATTGACTATGCATAGTGTAGTGGACTATTACTTAGAAGTTTGACAGTTTATTGTAGATTTTATTCTACTTTTATTGTTGACGTGTTATTACAGTGTCTATATTGTATAGAATTGCAAGTGTATTTAAATGTTGATATCAATTATAGTTTGATTGCAAGTTAATGCACTGTCATATATTTTATTGTATGTACTATATAATTTACGATAGACACGTTTAAAAGTTGTTGCTGGATGTAAATTATAAGAACTGTTGCATATTGTATTTTCAATACTTTATGCAGATGTGTAAATAATTTGTGAAGTTATTACTTTCAGAATGCTCTGAGCATAAAGAAAATTTATTAATAATTATTCTATTTTTTTATTTCTTTTCTCTACTTTTGTTATTTAAAGATAAAAAACTATTAGCCTCGAATAAATTTAATTACCTTAAGCAGGTTTTATAAAAAACTGAACATTATGTATTTCAACTATGCCATCTAGTGGTAAGAATAAGAACAAGAAAAAATGTACAAGATAAGAATTTAAATCAGTGACGTTTCAACCAAATTATTTTCTTAGAATTTTTTCTGCAAATAAACTATAAATCAAATAAAACAGCACATCATTACATAGATGGTTATTTATTATAAAATATGACACATTCTTTTGAACTGTGTTTTACAGTTGAGACGCACATAGCAAAAATTATAACATCCTGTAGCTTCAATAGCTGCTCATATACACGGTGAAGAATATTTTGTAAATAAAACATATTCAGCTTATTGGATATGTAAATTAAATTATTGGAATTAACTCAAGTGTATTCATATTTTTATATTAAAATCATAGTTTCGGTTAATTTTCACTCACTGTGTAATTTTAACGTTATTAAAACTTACATTGAGAATTAATTTTTCGTCCCAATCAAAATGAAAATAAAAATACACAAGAGTCAAAACCAAACATATAATTTCATTTACTTTGTTAGAAATTAATACTTAATAAAACATCTACGAAATTACAGTCCACTTTAAAAAAGCTACACCTGAAAATTAATTAAATAAGTCATAAAAATATTACATTGATAATACAAAAGTATTTTTCTCTTTTCTATCACAACAGCCATTGAAACTGCAGTTGTCGAAGCGTACATTGATTCTACGTTAGAAGATTTGAGATACTACAGGAAAAAACTTTTTTGTTAAAAAAAATAAATACAACGCGTTCGAATTAATATGTATAAGAATGTTATCAAAATAATAATGGCACAGGAGCGATGTAAATAAACTCCACAGATCATAGAGCAACAAATATGGCTTTTAAAATAATATTAATAAAAAAAATCTCAATAAATAAATAACGCGAATTAAAATCAATGTACAATATTTACATCGTATTATATAAGTTTACAAATCATACAGGTTGTTTGCAAAATGGAAGCGAAATGAAGAAAAAAATACAAACAAAATTAAGTTCTATGTCTTTTAGATTCAATAGTAAAATATAAAAAATTCCCTCGCATCATACCCCTATAGGACACGATTTTTTGTGATATCATAAAAACTTACACAACCCTTATCTATACTTAATGGAGACATCTATATATTAAATATTACATACTAGTTGTTACACTGATTTCACATATTTACGCAAAATAAATAAATATATATATATACATATTTATGTATTATATATATGATTTATATATAATATATAAATATCATTTCTTTCTATACGTTCATTACTAAGCGTTACAGGATACATTATACATCACGAATGAAAAAAAAATCAATGATTGCACTGGTACTAAAATAATATTTTAAAATATTGGCCAAATTATATATATATAACTATTTTACTTAAACATGTAGGATATATGTGATAATATTAACTCAAAATAACAAATTGCTTACCAAAAAAAATTACGAGTAACCAATATTTCATCCTTATATAAAAACTCAAAACAACTTAACGAAATAATAAAGTATACAAAAATATCTTTTCCCTTTTTTAAATCCTCGAAAATAATGTCTAGCATCAGTCTATTACAATACTTAAATATACAAAATAGGCCGTCCGCTTTAAAAACGTTTCATAAAACGGCTTTGCTATAAAAAAAAAATAAAGTAAAAAGATAAAAATTGTGATATATTTAAATAATAATAAAGAATTAAGCTGGACAATTTGAGATCTTAATTTATTTTGTAAAAAAAACCTAATATCATCAAACGCATTATTTCTAATCAATAAAATGATATCTCCTCAAGAATTAATTATATATATTCAGCTTTAAAAACATTTGAAAAAAAAGTTTTCATAAAAGGAGGTTCTAAAAAAAATCAGTAATATAAAAAAAAAATAAGCTACCGTTCATAATACAAAAAAAGTGACAAGCATATGACATACAACAATGGCAAGACTATAATTAACTTGTTCGTATTTCATTATAATGCCAATAAACGCTTACACACGCACATACAAACTATTATATATTAACATTAACAATTACCTCGGAACGGAATGTGCATACGTGGTGTTGCCATAATTGATAATATCGACACTTATTTAACATTAACCGGTAAATATATATATTTATATATATTTTTGTGCACGAATCACTTAATTAATGCGCTCACCTACATTAAAATACTGATCCAAAAAGTCCATACCATTATCATTTTTTTCTTTACTCACGTTATATAAATAAAAGCGCTAAATACGGAAGCGACGCGGTGAATTCTAAGCATATGATATGACAACACTTGTAAAAAATAAACGTCAATTTTAATTATTCGTAATCATAAAACCCCTACAACAATGATAGCCTGTATCGAACGAGGTCGATATTCCACACAAATATAGACACTTATCAATATAAAATAAAGCCTATAGTCGTGTGAATAGAATTACGCACTAATGTATAACCTCACTGGAACGGTACGGGATTATATAAACGTTACAGTCCATGACGTCACTGGCCGATGACGTCACTGCTCTGACGTCAGACGTCGTCCATCACGAATGCTACACGCATTGTGGGCTGCTAATAGATCACATGGAAAAATAAAAACAATTAATAAATATAAATCTGAAATTGTACTTTGGTAATTATAAAAATACAATTATATTACAGTAAAAATCTCTAAAGGAATATGTTTAAATAAAATTATTTGTCCTGATCTGTTCAATAACGCGATGTTGGGTTTAAGGTTCTAAAAACATTTAAACTAAAAAGAAACCCTGTAAAATTTATTACCCCTAAATAAAGCAGATATTCCAAAAAAGCTGCCAAGTGATTTATCAACCACATTTATTTATTAAACTACTGAAAACTACAAGCGAAGATTTAGGAACTTTTATCAAAAAATCTAATATATCAAATATTTAATATATAACAAAACATGAACAACTAAAGATTCAAAATTCGAAAAATCACATAAAATTATATATGCCGGATTCGAACCTTAGCATACGACCTATGATCGTAGGATATTTAACAACTGAGCCATCGTGACATACCAATTCTCAGACCATGACAAACGCTTCCTGACCCCTGAATAGAAAGGGATGCTGGTCTATCATAGTTTGAACGATATCTTCCAAGTACGGGCGGGTCATCTCGAATCTGCCCATATCACTGAATTGCACCGGAAGTAAAGTCGGCCACCAGCATATGGCGAGGTTCTTACTATCCATTGAGTTCAACTTGGAATTGTCGGCGACACTGCAAGGGACGGATTATTATTGATTAATTTTAATATATATATTGGTATGGCTATGAATTGAAGTTTGAAGTTATTTATTTATTTTTATTTATTATTAGGGAAACATACAGCATATCATATATTACAACTTGATATAATAATCATATTTTGACATTTATGCCAGTTAAGTTTCCACAACTGTTTATACGGGGAAGTGGACTAATTTTGATGTAACCTAAAATACAAATACAACCTAAATAGCAGAGAATTGAAGTATAAAAGTAGTTATAGATTTCTATACAACTATTTTTATACTTCAATTCTTTGCTAACTTCATGGTTCATACATTACCAGAAGGTAGCCCTAGATTTTTGTAAATATATATGCAAGTCTATATTTAAATATTTTTTTAAACTATAGTGTCTAAAATAGTGCCAGAAGTTTATAAATTTTTATGAAATGATTCAAATGCCAAACGACGAATTAATTTAAAAACTCTTAAATCGCAAGCTAATGATTATGTTCATCTTATATATCTTTTAAAGTGAGTATTAATGTTATTTACCGTGCAAAGTGATGCAGTAAGTAATCCAGTGTAGATCTTGCGGGCGGCGTGAGTGCAGATGATAGTAATGCTCTTAGCGCCAACAGCCTCCAGCTACGGTCTTTTAATTCAACTCCGCCGGCGATACAACCTCGCATTGCTGGAAAATATATAAGATTTTGCATTAATTTACTTGTAAAATCTTCTGGTATGTGAAACTGGGAAAAATTAAGACGATATAACATGGAAGTTACTAATATATATAAATATATTTCAAAATAATCCCTACTAATATTATAAATGCGAAAGTAACTCTGTCTGTCTGTCTGTTACCCTTTGCGCTTAAACTCAATTAACTGATTTTAATCAAATTTGGTACAGAGATAGAGTTGACCTTGAGAAAGTACATAGGATAGGTTTTATCCCAGACTTTTGAAAGGTTCTTTTGGAAACGCGATATAATCGAACTCCACGCGGGCGAAGCTGCGGGCGGAAAGCTAGTAATATATAAGAAAACAAGTAATGTTTTGGAGGGTACCGATATCCATTTTCAAGCTTAACTGCTTTTGTTATAACAAAACATGAAAAAATGACTTTATGGATACTTTAAAACAACAAGTAAAAAATATATATTTTTATATTAATTTCCTTTCAAAATTTTTCTTTAGTATAGTTTAAAATAATGTAAAGACACAACAACTTAAAGCATTTTCTAATTTTCCTATAGCCTATAGATTTAACACATAAATATTAATATAATATTAATTATCAACATCATCATACCCGCTATATCTTCCAACTGCGCCATACTAGCTTCATCTAATAACGGTGGAAGTTTCTTTGAGAAAAAGTCCTTCAACGCTGTAGCAACAGCATTCACAGGTATATCTAGCGATTCTAGATCTATATTTGGATCTGAAATTATATATACACATTAAATATCTTATTTAACTATATTATATACTTATATAATATTAATTTAGCTTCTAAATCATAGTAATTAAATGTAAATATATTTAAATATTTTACATTTAATGTCTATCTTTTACACAAATTATTTTATATACAAGTTTTTTCCAAAGAGGGTTGATGTCAGGCAGGCGGCCGGTCGTAAAAACAATTAGCCAAAACTATTCACAACATGTAAGGCAGACCCTGGCTAAAGCTGGGAAATTGGCAGGTAGAAGACAAGTTGAATATATACAATACCTTCATAAAACTTAGAGAAAAGCATATCAACGTGTGCTCTATTCCCAGGAACGCGATATAATCCTTCAGACGCTAAACCCTCTCGTTCTATAAACTCTATACACTTCTCAACGAATAGAGGTACTCCGTGAGGGCCCTGGGATCACACAAATATGTTATCATATAAATACACTCTCCAATTAGTACTCATTTTAATATTAAACCAATATAAGTTTAAACTTACATGGAAATAGAATTTATTGGAATATAAAATGTAAAATTAATTAATCAATTTTGAACATTTAATATTGCAGTTTACAAATGCATTTGAATTCCTCAATTTGTCAGTGTATATTTTCTACTTAATTATTTCTTTATATATTTTATGTAAACACAATCTTAATAAATTATTACTGTAAATATTTATACCTGTGGACCCCAATTTTGTATTGAGTTGGTGTTCTGCAACGGAGCTGAGTTCTTCTTGTCTTTGCTTTTTGAAAATTCCTGTTATAGAAAAATATTAGTTGCAGATTGATTAAGTGCTTTATAATCTAATGAATTACACATGACAATGTATTAAATCTATTGAAGATAAGTAAAACTAAAAGAAAAATTTAATATTATAATTTATGAGGGCACCGCAATTTTTCAATAAAAATTTCAATTACTCAAATAAGATATATAGAAGTAAAATAAATATTTAACATTTCGTTTGTAATTTATTTCAGTTTTTGACATTGTTTTGTTGTTTATAAAATAATATATTTAACATATCTGTTGCAACTTAATTCAGTTTTTGGGATTATATCTCATTATACAGGGTGACTGGTGAATTACTATCGATACTTGAGGACGTGATATTTGACGATCATATATGACAAAATAAAAATTAATATAACATAAATATTAATAAACTTCTAAGTAAAGTTAACCAAAAGTTATGTAATTAATTACGCATCGTGTGAACACCCTAAAGATTAGGTATACACACACACACACACACATACGCGTGCGGCGGCGTGGTGTTGTATCAGCACGCCGCCGCACGCGTCCACACTTGGAACACTTGGAACGTGTCCACACTTTATTTATTTATACGGAAATTTGGTCAAAATTAAGTACCTATTTTTTTTACATAATTCGAATGAGAATCATGTACCGAGTATTCTCCTTAAATATTGATAGTAATTCACCAGTCACCCTGTATAAAAGAATATTTATTTCTTTATATGTACCTTATGTCTTCGGTCATGTTTACCGAAGGCCTGTCTCCTGCGTGAGTCCGCTGCACTTGAAGACGAATTCTCCTGAGTCGAAGGATATTCACCGGACAACATCTACAAACATACATATATATCGTATATTAAAGATTTTTCTATACAATTATATAAATTTTGTTTATTATCACTCAAATTGCAATGATAAATAAATATGTTTTGCTAAGAAGGTAATCATATGTAAAAACGGAATAACTGGTCATATTTAAAGAAAAAGTGAAATAATAATTTATGTTTCTCTATCTATCTGGTAATTAAGTTTAATCTCTGAAGCGGCTAAACCGATTTTGATGTACTTCTACTGAGAGTTATCTTATATAATAAGGATTATCATATTTTACATATACATATTATGGAAATTTTATTAATCGTTATATATATAATTACCTTAAGCTGTGGTTCATGATGGGGCGGCGGTGGTAAAGGTCGTGTGCGTCTTGATTCGTTGTCAGAACTACCATCACTTGATTCACTCCCTACAAAAAAAATAATTAAATAAATAAATTATGTACTAGTAACTTAAATATAATATTAATACGATAAAATACTACTCGCTGTAATAGCATAGGATAATAAATTATGTATATTAAGTGGAGAGTTTTATAAAAGATATTATCAAAATAATTAAAACAATTTTCTACAAGTGATTTCTTTTTCATCTGATGTTAATAAAATTTTGTTAAAATCGGTTAAAAACTACTGACACAGTTGAAAATTAATTTAAATTTAAAACACAAAGATACAAACAGTGGCGGGGCAAGACCTAAATTTGATGTGGGCAAGACAGATTTCGCGAGGCCCTATTCTATGGAAACCTGAAGCTTTTACTACCAGCTAGTTTTAAAAATTTAAACTTCGATGCTTTTTTTACACTTAAAGCTTTGGTTTCCTTCAAAAGATATTATAAAGCCAATTTTATAGACAAGTAATTACTGCGTTACGTACTTATCAAAAATTAAATATTTGTTACTTTATGTAAAATAGACGAATACAGGGTGTATTAAAAGTCACAAAGAAAACAAAAACAATTAAAAACGTCACTGTTTTCGGGGCAATCAATATACTTAAACACTATCTATTTATTCGCTAAATATTATTAAAACATTGAACACACTATTCTTATCAAAATAGGTTTCATTAATTCTGATTCCCAAAGAGGGTTGATGTCAAGCAGTCGACCGGTCGTAAAAACAAATAGCCAAAACTATTCACAACATGTAAGGCAGACCCTGGCTATAGCTGGGAAATTGTCCGGTAGAAGAAGAAGATATTTGTTTTTAATTCTCGCTTTAAAAATTTTTGAGGCGCGAGGCCCCTTGTACCGCGAGGCCGTAGGCGGTGGCCCACGTCGCCCACGCCTTACGCCGCCACTGGATACAATAATAGTTCAAAATATCAGATTTTTGAACTATTTAAGTTATAATTAGCAACACTTAATACTTTTTGCATATGTTCTACTTAAACTCAGGTGAGGAGATGTTCAAGAATTAATTACATCTAACTATATAATATAAAAATTAATATATATTAATGTGAACGCACCTTTATCCTCCTGTGTCCTCGCCCTATACCCGGTCGGTAACTCTGGAGGGCCAACAAACATACCAAGCTTTGGAACTCTAGGACTTTGTACTGCTACTAGATTACCTAAAGAACTGGAATAGAAATATTATACAATTAAATTATGTACATAAAATAATATAAATATATATATTGTTTAATAAATTATTATAATAAATTTATGGTACACATATTTATTACAAGTCTATATAAAAAATAAACAGCTATTATTATTAGAATTTGAGTTCCTTAAATCTTTAAGGTAAAATGAGATTAATACAATAAAATACAGTACAAAAAAATCTATAACAAATAGTCAGTTAAAGATGTTTACATATTATAATATAGATAGATTTAAATATTATTAATTATTAAAATGAGCCTGAATAAAATAGAAATATTATGTACAAAGAAATATTTATAACAATAGTTAGTTAAACATATTCAGACATTACAATATAATGAGATATTTTTATTACTAGCTGACCCGGCAAACATTGTTTTGCCATATAAAAGACATGGGTTGGTGATAAAAAACAGTAAAAATTTAGTTTTGTATGTATTTTTTAAAGGCACATTATTCAAGAAATAAATCTAATTTGGTCCAAAATTAAAAACTAGAGAGGTGAACTACCTTTATGACTTAAGGGTATGAAAAATAGATGTTGGCCGATTCTCAAAACTACTCAATATGCTCACAAAACTTCATGAGAATTGGTCAAGCCGTTTCAGAGAAGTATGGTAACGAACATTGGGACACAATAATTTTACATAAATCTTTATGTATATATAATTCTTTTGTGAGTGTGTATGTCACTGAACTTGTCTAAAACAACTGGAACGATTTTGATGAAATTTTTTGTGCGTGTTCAAGGGGATCTGGGAATTGTGTAGATTCACAATTTTGTCCGCTGCACAATGTTTTTTTAATTAATTTTTAATTTATTAGTAGTTGTTGATAGAAACGTTTTTTCTTTGACACTAGATTTGACAACTAACTAACATGTCAATCATTCTGTCGCACTTCAAAACACGGAGATTTATGGCTTTAATAGGTAAACTCCAAAAATATAAATAAAAAACGTAACAGATATTTCTTGATTAAAGGGCGATACGAAGTTCGTCGGGTCTTCTAGTATATATAAGATTATAGGTATATAACACACGTACCGTTTCTTATAGTGTCTGGGCGCGTGCGCGTGATGTCTGCGTCGCACGTGTGCGCGAGCGCCGCCCGACGTTGAACTCGACCCGGAACTATCAGTCTCGGAGAAAGCTGTAACATGAACAAACATACATAGTTAACTCTGTATGAATTAATATTGAAATCCTACTAATATTATAATTGCGAAAGTTTGTGAGTGTGTGTGTATGTTTGTTACTTCTTCACGCTCAAACAGCTGAACCGATTATGATAAAATTTTATATACAGGAAGCTGACGTCCAGGAATAACACATAGGCTACATCCCGGAAATCCGCGGGTAACACCGCGGGGCGCAGCTACTATGTATATATTTTTCACTGCAATGGATTTCGTTACATTCATCTGTAATGTATGAAAATAATCTAATATTCACAGTCATATGAACATTATGTAAATAAATATTTAATTAAGCAATTGCTAAAAAAAAGTTCTTTAAATTTTGAAGAGAAATGCATGTGGTTATAAAGGCAAATAATTTTAAACCGCACGCTATATGAAATCCCTACTAATATTATAAATGCAAAAGTAACTCTGTCTGTCTGTCGGTTACGTTTTCACGCCTAAACCACTGAGCTGATTTCAATGAAATTTGATACAGAGATAGAGTTGACCTTGAGAGAGAACATAGGATAGTTTTTATCCCAGACTTTTGAGAGGTTCTCTTGGAAACGCGATATAACCGAACTCCACGCAGGCGAAGCTACGGGCGGAAAGCTAGTAAAGAATATTTCTTAGTCCTGTACACTCACAAGGTTGATGCATAGTTGTTTTTTCGTGTCTCCGATGTCTCCGTAACCTCGTCATAGAGGGCGCCTCCATATATTCGTTGGTTTCTTTGATCTGGTAATGTGAAATTATTGATTTGTGAAAACAAATTAAATTATTCTTAATCACTGTGAAGGTTATCTATTTATTGTATCTAGTACACGAATATATATCAGCTTCTGTACTTTAATTTCGCTCATGTAAGTTAAAAATATTCGTTAATATTTTAGTTGATCATGTTCAAATTGGAAATAATGAAAATTTCAAACTTTTTTCTAATATATTTTTGTTTGCGGAAGTAGTTTTAGTTTAATTTTGGCAAGAATGATTTAACCGCAATTTCAATAGACAATTTAATGCTTTCAAAATGGCTAATTTTTTCTTTATGTAGTGTTTTGGTGTTTTATAGGCTAGTGTCTAATTGGATAAATCGGTTACCTAAACGTGCAATAATTTATCAAAGCGGAATGTTTTTCTTTTCTCATTAAAGATAAAAAAATGATTTACAACCTTAAGTCAAGAAGAAAAAAAACTGGCTTTTCAATATTTTTTGTTGTAAATTGAAAGAACTTCATTTTCTAAGAACATAAATCACTCCTAATGATGAACGAAAACAATAAAATTACACACACAGTCAAATAGTTACTTTATGCACCCACTATATGGTGTTGAGAGTTGTATAATTTTTGGATGCATTCAATTATACTTTTTAATAATTATTACATAAAATAAATTAATACACATTTTTTTTCCTGCCCTGATCCCACTTTATTTATGTAGGGTCAGCACAACATGTTCTTCTCTTCCACAGAACATATTGTAAATAGTTTTTGGCTAATTGTTTTTACGACCGGCCACCTGCCTGACATCAACCCTCTTTGTAATGCATTAATCAGTGATGTCTTAATACGCTTAGAAAGTACATATGACTCGGAAAAATCACATTGGTACTTGCCAGGGCCAGGATCGAACCCGCGCCCTCGTGTATGAGAGGCGGGCCTTTTAACCACTAGGCCACCACTGACTAAAATATATTAATATACATATTAATCTAATTATTTCCATACCTGTGCGTACTGCGCGTCTAATTCAGTTTCTGAACTAACTCCTGATGGATGGTGAGTCTGTCCGGAGTGAGACCAGCCAGAGTGTTGAGACTGAAATAAATAAATAATATATCATTATAATTAATTTTATTAATATATATTTGTTATTACAGACAGAAAAACATAAGAGTTTTAGTAATTTTCACTGATCTCACAAAGTACTAGGTGTGTTAGACAAACTTATAAAGCAAATTTTTTGAATAACAAGTTTTTTACCCAAACTAGGAAGTCTACAGTATATACAGATTATTTGTGATATATTTGGAATATAGATACTTAATTAATTTATACATTCAAATAAAATAAATCTGCGCCAAATCGTTGAGACTATGCAAACAATTGTATCAAAAAAAGGAATATTGAAAGGAATTTTGTTACATAAATAATAACACAGACTAAAAATATATTACAGATATAGGTATTTATGTAACATAGGTAGTAGAAATGCTTTGAATTATCACAGTTTTGCTGTGATGCTAAAAAATCGAAGGTCACTTTTACCTCCAAACCTGTCTAAACAAAAATGTATTTTGTAATAATCAAATTAAATACTACCTTTCTCTCTCTATGTTGTGGTTGTCCTATAGTAATATGTTGCAGCGCGTCGCTCACTATAGTGTAGTTATTCATATCCAATTTACCTGGTTGCTGAAAAATAATATAAATTGTTACAATATAGTTAAAATATACATAAAGCATATTATATTTCTTGTTACAAGGATAAAAATGAGTTCAAAGGTCAAATTGGGAGGAAATCCATTAATGATTATTATTAGAAATCATTGCTAAAAGCGCGAGTAGTTGCTTTTAAGCAGTATATTCAATATCTTTACCGAGTTAAGTTTTAGTTATCTTTTCCAATATACATATACAGGGTGACTGGTGAATTACTATCGATATTTGAGGACGTGATATTTGACGATCATATATGACAAAATAAAAATTAATATAACATAAATATTAATAAACTTCTAAGTAAAGTTAACCAAAAGTTGTGTAATTAATTACGCATCGTATGAACACCCTACAGATTAGGTATACACACACACTCACACAGACGCGGCGGCGGCATAGTGTTGTATCAGCACGCCGCCGCACGCGTCCACACTTGGAACACTTGGAACGTGTACACACTTTATTTATTTATACGGAATTTTTGTCAAAAATTAAGTACCTATTTTTTTTACATAATTGGAATGAGAATCATGTACCGAGTATTCTCCTTAAATATTGATAGTAATTCACCAGTCACCCTGTATACAAAACGCTTTTGACTTTCCATTCATATAACTTCGCACATGATAGAATCAACATAGTTTTATGTGTGTGAAAAACGTAAAATTCTCCATATTATGGTGAAAACTTGCAGTAAAGATGCTAAGGCAAATCAATACCACGGGTTCCCAAACTCATTTTGTGTACTAACAACATTGATAATAATTAATTATATTTTTAGTATACCCTCTCAATCTATAACACGGGTTCAAAACTTATTTTGTGTGCTAACGACATTGAAAATGAATTATTTTTTTAGCATACCCTTTTCTCACCTTCTGAAAAGACAATAACTTATCCTAACTGAATAAAATTACAACTCATATCCCCTCCATTGTTTTTCTATGTCTTTTAGGCCTGCAGCGCCCACTAGATGGCGTTATCATTCACTTTAGTTAAATCTGATGTAATCCTATGTAATTATATATACCTTCAATGTTTGTGAATGCCTCAATCTTGGATGTGCGTGATGTGGTCTTGCTCGACCTGTAGTAAAAGCTCTTTGTCCGTAACCCGCGGGTTGCCAGCCCCCACCATCTAAATATAAAAACATATAACGCTAGAAATACTTAATTACATATATAACTATGATATATAAAGTTTTCTTAAAGATATATATGTACTATATTTCATGCATTAGATATTGAATTGTGATTTTTTCATAATTATTTGATGATTCATAAAAAAAATTAATTAACGCTACATACAAAACAGTTTATAATTTTTTATATCATCGCAACACGAGTACACAAACATATGTAATCTATTCTACATCATGCGTATTAACTACAGAGTAAATTAAACTCTATAACTACGGCAATAGCGTCTACTATCACCTGACTCGTGCGTGCTCAATGAATCCTCCGAACAGTTGAGATCCGCTGCGTGTACATTTACTTACGGTTAGGTATATATTTAATAAATAATTATACAACTTGTTATAAATAGTATGCTTTTTTTAATTAGAAATATACATCTTATAAATGTAATAGTAGACAAGAAACAAATGAACATGGCGTACATTTTAAATAAGTTATTGTATGAAATTGTTTTAATTTGAAAAAAGTAGCAAAACTTCAGTTAACTAAAAGAAAGGTAAAAATTATTATAATTAGTAATTAAACTAAACAAAAGAGAATTTCATATCGAACATTTTATTACCTTTACCTACATCTACAGTATGTATAAGTTTATACATACTGTATATTAAAATATATTTTAACCACGATTTGAACCTGTATACCTATATAGGCTACATACGTGATAGATCAGCATGCATCCTGTGGTCTGGCGGGGCGGGCTCTGGCGGCGTACTGGGTGGTGGGTACACACTAAAACCTGCAAACAAATATTCATGATACAATATGATACATGATTAATAATTATATATACAAAAATTAACCTATAAGATAGAACTACATAGCTTACTCATTATTTTGTATTTAAAAGTTTATGGTGCTTTACTAGTAGTAGAATTAGCTGTTTCTTTAAATTATATAAAGTTGCTTAAGCTAGACATATTTTTTCTTTTACTAAGGTTCTTATTTATATATGTATATACCTTTCAAAAATCCCCTATTCTTAGAGTTATTGAGTGTGTCGCTATACTCCGAGTCTATGTCCGCACGAGAGTCTGGGCCGATCAGGAGGTCTAATGAATTGGTCAGCTTGTGTTCCATTCTGTAATATGAAAAAAATATATAGTAATAAGGTAAATATTTTATGTAAAAGTTCATATTATTTAATCTTTTAAAATCAGTGCTTTAATTACATAATATAATCATCTATACTTTAATAGATGTCTATACTGAACGAACTCATTAATTTAATAGAAGATACAAGACTTTACTAGCTATCATTATCTCATACAGCGAATCTATTTAGTGTCCATTATTTTTCGAACTGTATTTCCTATATGTATAGGTTTGTGTAGCGGTTCCAGGTCGCTAAACCTAATAGCCGGACAGACTTGCCAATTTGGCCGGACATTTGGTTAAAAAAAGCCGGACACCTTATATTATTGAGGATTTTGTCTTAGTATTAATAGGTACGAAAATTTTTTAAATGTAAAATCAAGTTTTTTTGATTATTATCATAAATCTTGTTAATTTCTAGTGTAATAATAAATAAAATCGAATGCCAAATCAGGCTTAGATAGGTACTTTATTATTAATTTGCGAAATCTAAAAAGCCTAACAAAAGCCGGACAAGACGGACACTGTTTATTTTGGCCGGACATGTAATCAAAAAGCCTATGTCCGGCTTTATCCGGACGCCTGGCAATGCTAGGTGTGTGTATATGTATGTGTGTGTATACTAACTTATGGTCCAAATGATATGAGTGTAGTCTCGGTGGCGGCGCCGGCCTGGCCGCTGCTACATCCGGCAGGTTGTGTGGGTTATGTGACCGACCGTGGGGCGCCTCTAAACGGAACGCCCTCTCAATCTCACCCTTACGCTCCCACACCTCCTTGAAGAATGGAGTGTAGAAAGCAGCTGGAATAATCATTTTAATATTATATATAACATTGTATTGTACTTGTATACATAATGAGATCTAAGATTTTCGCAAGTGCTCATGTAAATGAAACTAATATTTTCGGATTTTACTTCGCGTTTTTTTATTTTTCATTACAAACTACATACACCCGACGTTTCGGCTACTTTCCAGCAACCGTGTTCACGGCGGACGAGATCTCGTCTGCCCGTAGTAAAATCCGATAATATTAGTTTCATTTAAACTTGTATACAGAGTTTTGTACTGAACTATTCTTATTAATGGCATTTTATATGTAGCTGTACGCGACATTCCGTTGGAGTGAAATGATTATTACTATTATTGTAATACTAAAAACTATTGAAATGCCTTAAATTAGATAGCCTACATTCGTCTCTATGCCATCAGCTATCAGCTATCAGCTTCTATAAATGATATCAAAATCGGTGCAGACTTTGCGATTGTTATCCGGAACATAGACGGAGAGAATAATAACTTAATTAGTTTCACATATCGTATTTTCTATATGGACGTAAATTTTGAGAATTCATAATTATTTAGTGTTTAATTTATTACTAATAATGAAAGAATTACCCTAAAAAGTCATTTATTTAGGAAACATTTCAGCTTAAACTTTCTTTTGATATCCAGATCCAATGCAGATACATAGAATTATCCAATTGTTACGCGAATTTGCACTATCTACGACGATATTTATATGACAAATTAGTAAAAACATAACTCACATTTATTTTCCGCCGCACAGCTGTAAGTAGTGAAATGTGCTCCTAGTCTATCGGCCGTGGCATTACCGTCCGTTATGAGAGCGTGGCCAAGATCAGTGCCAAAAAATGCACTGGCAGAGCCACCGCCTTCCGTCACAGCTACCATTTGTATTGGCAGATTGGGAATATTCATTGAAAACGCACTGAAATTATATAAAAATAATTACATATAAGATATATATTAATTATATAGTAAGGTTTTATGTATTTATAATTTAATCATTACTTATCATTGTTAGCAAAATTATATTGATAAATATTAGGTAGAGAAGTTAAATATCATTGTTTAATAGTACATGTTTCAAGGTTTTCATTTATATAATTTATTAATTACATTATAGTAAGTACTGCATTATAAAAAATTATCATGAGAGTTTTCAATTAACATATAATTATACTTAGAAAAGTATAGATAAGTCACATCTATCACCATGATGATATTTATACAATTAATTATTATATATATCATAAAAATGGATATACCTACTATACATTTTATTGTGAAAATATGACTTACTTGAGTGTAGCCAAACTAGCTTTCCTCTTAGCAGAGTATATCAGAATGAATCCATGTATAAGTTCCTCTCTAAACTGACTCGCGCCGTGGAAACTTGAGATTATAACCTGAGAATATAAATACTATCTTTATAAAACATTAATAAAGTATATATATTATTCTAAACTATGTTACAAACGCCTTCATGAAAAATTACTACTTGGTTATATAATATATCATATACATAGTTTGTTATATAATTAGCTAATTCAAAAAATATATTTATATTTTAATTCTTAACCTTTACTTATATATTCTAAAACTCAACACCATTAAAAATACCATAAAATCTATCTCTTAATTTCATTTGTAGCATTAAATAGTCATGTTATTACAAAAATATATATATACAGGGTGACTGGTGAATTACTATCAATATTTAAGGAGCATACTCAAATAATTATGTAAAAAAATAGGTACTTAATTTTTGACCAAATTTCCGTATAAATAAATAAAGTGTGTACGCGTTCCAAGTGTTCCAAGTGTGGACGCGTGCGGCGGCTTGGTGATACAACACTACGCCGCCGCCGCGTCTGTGTGAGTGTGTGTGTATACCCAATCTGTAGGGTGTTCATACGATGCGTAATTAATTACATAACTTTTGGTTAACTTTACTTAGAAGTTTATTAATATTTATGTTATATTAATTTTTATTTTGTCATATATGATCGTCAAATATCACGTCCTCAAATATCGATAGTAATTCACCAGTCACCCTGTATATACTCTTGTAATATATTGTTTTTTGTAGCTACTGTAGTGTTATAAAATCTTATTTATTCATAGAGATAATTTTAAAAATAAAAGATACAGAATATAATAACTTTTTTGCTTGAAAATACAGTCATTCTAATCTATGATGTATACAAATTTCTATGATGTATAAAGCCAATTAACTGTAGCCCCTACTATTTGAACTCACCTCGACTTTCCTCTTAGAATCGCCCAAAAATGTCTCAATAAGTATGGATCGGTCGCCCGTTAAAAAACAAGCTCGATGTTGTAGTAGGGGACCGAGCGCGCGCTCCGGAGAGTAGGGGTCGTCACAGAACATGCACACCATTATACTAGAGGAAAGAAATATATAAAATAAAAAAATAAATAATTAAAATTAAAAATCTGAAAATCAGTGCTGTGCATTAGCACAGCTTATACTGAGAAAAGATGACCCCCTTGCTACACTGTATTCTTCAAATTTATTTTTTCTTCTTCTGTATAACTGTATAATATATGTAATGTATGTGTGTAGCAAAAAATAAATAAATATATTAAAGAAATTATAGTGAATGTTTGTTATATAATAACACCATCATAGTGGTAAATGTTGGCAGTTCGTACATTTATTATTTATAGTGGTGTAGATTGGTTACAAATTACTACCACTATTGGTTATACTGATAGTTGGGTAAGTATATAATCTATTATGATTTTGAATACTTTGATATTGATTACTATAGATTTTGGTGAAATTCACAAGTTATTTATATTATTATATAAAGATTTTTTTTCCAAAATGATAGTCAAACAAGCCCCAAGATACACTATTATATATATGTTCATTATATTTATATATATTACCGTATATCAGCATCAAAGCAGACAATGAGATCTCTATACAGATGAGCGTAACTAGCTTTTTCTCTATTCGCTCGTATTAACTCTTGTATAGCATCTGTTGTAAAAGCCTCGGTGCCCAATTCGTTAACCGACGCCTCCATATATGAGCAATGAAGACTGAAATTAAGGAAATCTATTAGTAACTTTATATGATATATATAAATATATTTGTAGAACATGATTATGCCCACTGTTTGCAATGAATACTTTATATAAAGTTGTTTACTTATTTAATGTGAAATAAGTTATTTACTTCTCAATAATACTTTAAATTCTATCTTTTTTTGTATCAATTGTAAAAAACATTCGAAAAATAAACAATAATATATTTATAAAGAATCCAAAATTATAATTCAAGTGTAGCAATATAATAAATTTTTTATTTCAATATTTATTCAACATTTTACATACATTTTTATATACATATTTTCATCACAAATATAAAAAATGTATGATTTCTATTAAACTATAAATGATTTCATATGTATGAATGCCACACATTATATAATGTATATGTATATAAATACAGTAGTATATAATACATACTTGTCAGCGAGATTCTGTCCTTCCTCCTGTAGTCTGGCCAACTCCTTTTTATCCATACCCTCGTCTTGGACGAACATTACAACTAATGGCAAGCCCTGGAAATAGATAAATATAGTTAGTTAGTCATAGACAAAAATATGGATCAGTCAGTGGTGGCCTAGTGGTTAAAAGGCCCGCCTCTCACGCATGAGGGCGTGGGTTCGGTCCTGGCAAGTACCAATGTGATTTTTCCGAGTCATATGTACTTTCTAAGAGTATTTGGACATCACTGATTAATGCATTCCCAAAAGAGGGTTGATGTCAGGCAGGCGGCCGGTCGTAAAAACAATTAGCCAAAACTATTCACACAACTCAGGCAGACCCTGGCTAAAGCTGGGAAATTGCCAGGAAGAAGAAGAAAAATAAGAATCAGTGGTGGGGACCGTCGCCTACATTAGCAGCGGCGCTCTCATTAGGAAACACTCAACTCAACACAAGTTGAAACTCTGCCTGTTTCCATAGCTATTTTGTCTTTGCTCTGTTCAGTTTTGTCCAATAAGAATAATTTGTGAATTTATTGTGATAATTAATATTTAAGTACTGTCAAATTAATATTGAGTTGATGTTTTGTTTTTTTTTTAAGAATAAACTTTATTTCTAGGGACAAATATGATATATATTTATAATATAATTAAAGATATTTCACTATGCTTTCTTCAATTAAATGAAATTTTTTAATGAGAATAAAACTTTAAACACAACAATCCTAAAACACTATCTTAAAATAAAATACTTTTATTTGAACCAAATATAAACATACATAATTAATATTAAGCATAATTTTATAAAATTTTTTTTACTTTAATTATATAATATTAACTATATTTTTCTTAAAATTTATAATACATGTAAAGTTATACATATGTTATGTAACACAAACCTGAAATGGAAGTTTATCTTCTTGTTCCAGACTAGACAGGAGTGTTTTTTCAGCACAACCTCGAATATATTCAAAAGATTCCTGATCTTGATACACGCAGAAATATCCTGTTGAAAACAAATAAATATGAAATAAAATACAGATGAAACGAAAACTTCTTCCTTTTTAGAAGTTGGTTAATAAGACTTGTTATTTGCATGTGCGAAATATTAGTAATAATTTGCAGTCATTGTATATGTTAAAAAATAAGAATCCATTTAATAAATAGAGTTCAACCTATTTTCATTTTCAAAAAGTCAAATTGAAGAATTCGCTCATAAATCTTGAGCGATAACGTCGCTTTTTGTGCTTTTTTTTTCTAACATTACTTAAATTAACTCTGTATAAAATAAAGCATACACTACGTGTCTAACAAAGGCTATTAAAATAGAACCAATAGTATTTATGTGTGTATATTTAATAGATTAGATTTTACATGAAAAAATATCAATAAATCAGAATTTTCTACAAATTTACATATCCTATATATTGTCATTTTGCAAAAATTTTTATTCTTAATATTTATATGTATGTAATTATAACATCATCAACCTATAGAAGTTATACCCATAGAAATCATATAACCTATAGAAATTCATAGAAGTATATTTACAAATTAAATCGGTCCTTGATTTTCATAACAATGATTAGTTCATAAAAGACTTGTCAATTCTACCAGATATGCCCTTAAAACTACACTTGGGTCACAAGTCACAGTCACTGTTGAAGCTCCTCTCACTACAACGATGGACCCGACACATATACATTGAATGATGAGAAGATTTATATTATAACCCAGTGAAGATTTATATTATACATTGAATGCTAAAGTTTCATATTATAACTTGCCATTAGGCGCGAAGTCAGACGGTGCGTCAGTAGCGAAGTCGTCTGTTCTCAGCCTAAGATCTAACCGGCGAGGGACGGACGCACTCACACGACGCTCACTCTCACAACCAGCTGACAGACGCTTGCCGAATTCACCCGCCACGCCTTCCACCTGTGGAGTGGTGGGACATATTGTTTTTCGTTTTTACTATATTATAATCTATATTATAATCAAATGATTAGGTAAAACATATTTGGTATAAAGTATTTTCCAAGAAACAATATCTAGTATTTTTTTTTATTGTATTATATATTTAAAAAAAAAAGTTATACAATTAGTGTACATTAAAGCCTACAAAACATATTGCTCATTATCTTATACCAATATCTGACTGCCCCTATCATCTTTAAGAAAGATTTCACTGAAGCCTCCAGATATATTTCATAAGATCTGTTTATATAAATGTATATGTTCCACTCACCCCTAATATAATAACGTTGATATGGTCCGAGTCGCTTGTGAGGGCCCAGGGCGCCGCTGGCGGACCTGCCAGGCATTGAGACTCACTCGATGACGTCAGAGATCTGGTATTTTAATTGAATGAAGTAGAAATATTTTTTAATTAATTGTTATATAATTAATATGAAGTTAAGCTTAAAACATTTGAGTTTTTGGAATATAAAATGTTAGCATTGTAATCATTTACAATATTCAAATATTAATTCATAATTAAAAAAAAAAAAACAATTTAATGGTGAATGCAACTAAAAGAAAATATATGGTTGCTTGTTTTAAATTTATCAGGCAAAGAATTCTTAGACACATTTCGATATATAGTTACACATTTGACTAACTAGTACCTACTTGAAATATTGATCATACACATTGTATTGACAAATATACTTTTAAAAGATACATTACATATAAACTGCATGAAAGAAAAATATCATCGTGACTTGACTTGACTTGACTACGCAATATTTTTTTTTACTATGTACCTATGTATTAATAATTAATTAATCTCCATACATATAATTCAATATATGTACTAACCCAACTCTAGTGTTAAGTATAACAGGTAGCGTTGCATCCAAGCAGTTTGAGCCAGCCGGACAATGTTCCCTCATGGGACAGTGAACGAATCCAAGATGTTGAAACAACATTAGCTTACGATCTTGCTCCATACGATCTAACATCTTGTATCTGTGGAGATAAATAATATTTATATAGTACTAGGAGTTCGGTTATATTGCGTTTCCAAGAGAACCTTTCAAAAGTCTGGGATAAAAACTATCCTATGTTCTTTCTCAAGGTCAACTCTATGTCTGTACCAAATTTCATTAAAATCAGTTCAGTGGCTTAGGCATGAAAGAGTAACACAGACAGACAGAGTTACTTTCGCATTTATAATATTAGTATATTAGATCATCATTAGTCTATATGAGCCTATTGCTGAGACCTCTTCTCACATGGAGAAGGTTTGAGCATTAATCACCACGCTTGTTCAAGGCGGATTGGCGATTTTAAATTTATAATTTGTAATTATAAGTCCAGGTTTCCTTATTATGTTTTTCTTCACCGTCTGTCAGTGTTGTCTGAATACTCTTTAGAAAGTACAAGTGCCTCGGAAAAATCACATTGGTATTTGCCAGGTTTCGAACTTATTACAGTTAGACCAAATCTGTCAACTTTCATTTGTAGGTAGTATAAGTGTACCCACCGGAAGTCATCTTGCAGCACATCAGTGATTTCCTTTATATCTTCCTGTGTTATGGTTCCTGTGGGTGATATCCGCTTGAAGTGGTAAAACAGATCCGCGTGCTCCAATAACAGTTCCTTAAAAGTAACAAAACACATTATATATTGGAAAGTATTCATATGTTATACCATACTATATAAAAGATATGTTGCCATACTATATTTGAATTAAAAAATATAAAGGTGAGATTAAAACATTTTTGGTTGTAGTTACTATTAAGTATAAGTGTGTTAAATGACGTTTGTATGTTTAAGTCTTGGAATTTTTCATAGATAGCAACAGTACTCATTTACGGTTTAATTAATTATTTTTTACATTATTATTTTAAACAGGCAACACTTATTAATAATTCGTTAATTAAGAATTAATAAGCAACATATCATTTAAAAATGTATATAGTTTATACAAGTATAAATTATATACAACATACAGCTGCAAAATTCTATATATTGCATCTAGTTACTGAATTTTCCATTCTAGTATTTCCATTTGAATTAATTCAATCTTTATTTATTATCTTCATCACTGTTGTAACATTAATTATATATTTGAACTAATCCTACTACAATTATAATTGCGAAAGTTTGTAAGTGTGTGTGTATGTTTGTTACTTCTTCACGCTCAAACGGCTGAACCGATTTTGATAAAATTTTGTATACAGGAAGCTGACGTAAAGGAATAACACATAGGCTACTTTACATGCCGGAAATCCCGGAAATCCGCGGGTAACAGATAGTGAATCATAATCCTCTACCTGTAGGTTATGTTTAGCTCGTCTCTGTATTTCCCTCTGATGGTCGTCATACACTCTCTGCTGTTGTTCCTCTGTCAAAGCTTCGTAACACTCTCTGCCCATCAATAGCACTCTTACTTCTGACAATTGTTTCCCTGGGGTTACGTAACCAGTTTCTTCTAATAGACGTTTGAATTGCTGACACCATCTAGAATTATTATATTATGATTTATATATAGTTACAGTGCGTTTGATTTAAGCTGAGCTTTGCATTTGTGTGAGTGCACACGGATAGTGAAGGTGTAATGTAAAATTTTTGAATGCCACGTTCTTTTCTAGTTTTGAATCAGTTTATTTTGCTTTTACTCCGCCCCGTACCTTCCTCACTTCACCTTTTGTACTGGTAGCAAAAATCAAATATTGAAAACGCAATGTCATATGAAGAAGAATTTGTATAGTTTTTTCAAAAATTTTATTTATTAAAAGGTTTTTTTAAAACAGAAGAAAAAATATTATTCTTATAAATAACGAATATCTTACTCAAAGTTCCGTTGTTTTTCTTGTGCTTCGTGTAAGTATGTTTTGAATATAGCTGCCGCTTCATTCGTTTCCAAAATCTCGAACGGTATCTTCTGAGATTGACCCAAAGTCTAAAAAATAAGGTTACATTTTCAATAGTCCTAAAAAATATATAATATAACAGACTATATAAATTTATAGAAGCTTGATCGACCAATTTTTAATATTGGTTTTTGCGTTGCCTATATTTTGTACTATAAATATGCCAAATGAGTTATACAAATTAAATATTAATCAAAGATTTTTTCCATTTTATATTTTCAAATTTTATTTAATTTAAAGTATTAGCTCAATATTATTATTACGTTGAGAATATTATCTCAATCATGCACCATTACATTTTCAACCCACGATATAACAACCTATAATGGGTGTATCCCGTGGTATCAGACCCGATAATGATTGTATCCCATGGTATACCTCTCCATAATGAGTAGATAAGCTAAGGGATACCTTACAACACAAGGACAAGGTATCCCTTAGCATATCTCAATATTGTGAGTGTATCCCATGGTATACCTCCCCTTAACGAATGTATCCCATTGTATACATCCTTATGTTGAGTGTATCTCACCTGATACTTCGCCCTATCACCAACCCTAAGCGTAGCGTCATGTGGTTGTTCGTCCGAGCCGCTATCAGAACTACCCCTAGGTCTCGTTTCCGTGAAGTACACCGAGAAGTGACGATGAGAACGTATCTGACGGACAACGGAGCCCCAGTCACTGTAACAGAATAGAATACGTGTAATTTCATACAGAAAATATAAATTGTAATCTATAAATCAAAGTAACATTTAATATATTGTAAATTAGGTATAAATAATTTTTTGCCTATACAAAATAGACTTGTTTTTTATGAGTAGTATGCACACACACATGCAAACAAAAAGTAAATTATATAATAACATTTTTTTTTATTACTTATAATCGTATCGTAAATAATTGCTTTTATTTTTAAGTTTAGAACTTAAACGTGACAACGGTATATTAAATGTATACAAATTACAATTGTATATTACGTAATCTATTACATTTTCCTATCAGCCGATATAATTTTTAATAAATAATTTTCACATTACTATTATATGCAATCCTAATATTCTATAGAAGATTATATTTATATTTCACAGCTGCTTTTACTGATAGTAGACTTTTTTTATTGGTAATAGGCCTTTTAAACGTAGTAGACCTCTTCAATTATTGTAGACCCTTGTAGTATTAGTAGACCTTTCTAACCATAGTAGACCTATGACCCACCTTTCCTGCATGTCGTCAGTAGACAACTGCATCCTAGTAAGGACTTGTGGTAACTTGGCCAACTGCTTCCTCAGTTTCTTAGCTGATCGTTCCTCCTTCAGACGGCGGATGTGACGTCGAAAAACCACCTTTGTAAAAAGAGTATTATGTTATAGTATGATAAAAAAAAATGACTTCTAGACATCAATGTATTTATGTATATTTGGACTAAATTATGGGTGTAGCTTAACACATGTTTGTATAGTGGAATTGCATAAGTGTGTATGTGTAGATTTACAATTTCTCATTCATAAATGTTAGCACTTGATGGTATCGTTGTCAGTTTATGAATAAAAAACTAAGAAACTGTCAGTATGTAATTTACCAATGCAAACTGGGGTTAAGGATACATAATACCAATTTATGTAAGGATGAATCCTATGATTTTTTACTCAGGGCAATTCAAAACTGTTAGACAATTTCGATCAAAGTATAGCTATAACACACATATAGATTTCTGTTATAAGTAATAAATAAAATATACTTTTTATAAACTTAACACTCCATTTTAATATTACTATTTCTTATTTAGATTATAAACTAGAAACCATAAGAATTTTATTTGTTCAAAAAACTTCTAGAATTTAGAATTTACTACAATTAAATAATAATTAATAAAAAAATACTAGAAAACTGACACTGATATCATGTACGATTTCCTTTATCATTATTATAACATTTTTAATTCAGTCTTTTTTTTAAAAACACAACATTCATACATATAAATTCTAAAAAGAAATATATGTTATTATTGTTCTCGACAAGTTATTTTATTTTAAAAAATATATACCCCTTACGGCTTACATAATGAAAACTTGTCGATTTTTTTTAAAGATGATATTTTACATGCTTTATAGTAAATAAACTGTTAAAACGGAGTATGAATAAATATATGCTATGTAATAAAAATATGCTATAATACACATACATATCCTTTTCCAGCACATATACACTGTTTAAAGCATAATTTGTCTTAAATAATAATGATATTTTATACCTGAGTTCCATCGTTTCCAAACTGTTGTACAAATTTGATCCATTCTGGATAGTGACACAATCTTTTGCTAACCGCCGACCACATCTCTCTGTAACAAAAGAAAATCAGTCAAGTGCAATTCTGATATAAATGTGAAGGTTCTGTATGTGTTTTTAGTGCCTGTTTTCATTCGAACTAATTAAAGATACTACATATAAAAGTATATTATTTCATATCATTTTAATTTATTTAAATTATGAGTTATATGAAGCTGTCTATGTATATGTAATATATCTTCAACAAAAGTTTACATAATAGAACTATGTAAATACAAGATAGTTATAAACTTTTTCATACACATACTTCAATTAAAACTACTAAATCTATTTGGATAGAAAACAGTTATATAATAAATATGTAACTGTTTACTATCCATTCCGTTTGACAAAATACTCTCAAATACAGGATATTCTAGATTATTGTCAAATAGAATGTCAGAACTATAGTCCAAAAATATCAATTAAATGCACTACAACCATAATTATCTAATATGTAGTATTCACTAAAACTATATTAAATTCGTCATATAGGTATTTGATAAGTAGCAAAACCGAATGATAGAAACTAATATAATAAATTCCTCTATCCACATTATACTTCATATCATATTATTATTTAACAAGTAACAAAACAATATAATAAAATTCCTTTCAATGAATTATTATCAACATACTTGTGATCCTGTACATGTATTCTTATCAGCTGAGTGAATGCCTCTGTGACAAAATCGAGAGTTTCCCTTCGTATCCGCAAAGCCTCTGAATAGTTCGCCACCTAATAACAAATATTTACTATGAATAATATTATCAATATAAAAGTATATGAATATCTTTGAGTTTTTATTCAAGTTAGCCATATTTTAAATTTATTATTGATTTTTATTAATTAAAGTATATGATTGAAATTGTTATTTTATACACATATTTGTTATACAAAAATTTGTGTTAAAAAAATATCAATAATTCATTATTTTTTAGTACAGGCAACATTAATTTGAAATGAAGAAATTATAGACGCATAGTCAAATATACATTGAATATTAGCAAATGAATACATTTTTATAAGATATTTGATGTTCATTTCCTTTATCTTTTAAGTATCCAAATTTCTTTTAACATAAAATATAATAAAATTTATTTATAAAAAAAATTAGTTAACTATATAAAAAACTGTAATTTTACTGACTGTTACCCAAAAACAATTTTTTTAGTAATCTATTTTGTGAATACCAATGCATATTTTAACCCAAAACAACTTAAGATAGAACATATTTTTCAATTGAGATTGAAATGATAAGTCTTTGGAGTGATATCATATGTAATGACATCACTGTTTGCTAACGGATATACATTTACTTCTTGTATACAAAAATTATTCACCTTTATAAATATTATTTTATATCAAAAACACCTAGATATACAGGGTGACTGGTGAATTACTATCGATATTTGAGGACGTGATATTTGACGATCATATATGACAAAATAAAAATTAATATAACAAATATTAATAAACTTCTAAGTAAAGTTAACCAAAAGTTATGTAATTAATTACGCATCGTATGAACACCCTACAGATTAGGTATACACACACACACACACTCGCGCGCGGCGGCGTGTTGTTGTATCAGCACGCCGCCACACGCGTCCACACTTGGAACACTTGGAACGTGTTCACACTTTATTTATTTATACGGAAATTTGGTCAAAAATTAAGTACCTATTTTTTTTACATAATTCGAATGAGAATCATGTACCGAGTATGCTCCTTAAATATTGATAGTAATTCACCAGTCACCCTGTATATACACGAGAATTTTAAAGAAATTGGTTAATCTTAACTTAAAGTACAATATTATTTTATAACCTTGGCAGCAAAACAATTCAGAAACCAATATAAAGTCAATTTTCAGTGGTTTTGGTGCTTTAACTTGTTTATTAGTCATTAAGCGTTTTTAATCATTACTAACATTACACTACAAATATAAAAGTTACCCATAGCAAAATTAAGACAAAGAAACCTTTCACATTTTTTTTTTATTATAATAGTTTATCTAAAGAGTTTTATTTTATCAACATATACAGTCTCCTTGAATGATACAAACCTTAATCCTAGCTTTGGATTTATCAATCATCTGTGCCAATAGAAAGAATGCTTGGTCTACATTAACATTATCATGGCTCGATGTTTCCACGATGGGTATAGCTCCTTTAAACTCCTTCCTCTGCACCAATCTCTCCGCTTCTCGAACACCTTGCTCGCAAGCCTCATCATTCTTTGATGTAACTAACACAACCGGTTTTTTCAACTTTATTATGTTCTGGAGTATAAGTACCAGGGTTTCATTCTGCGAAGAAATAATTTAAATCAGTTATATACAGCATAGTAATATTAATTATAAACATTCACAATTAATAAATACTGCCATACAATGATTTGTAAATGTTCATCTGCCTACCAAATCACAAATTTTTACACTTGATATAAGAATACATAAAAACAAAGTATGAAATAAATAACTGATGATCAAACTGTTTTTGTTACTGTGTCTATGAGTTTGCATTTCTTATCGCTGTTTTGTACACAATTATTGTCGCTTTGAGGGTATGTTTTAAATTTCTTGTTTAAAGCAAAATTTATTGGAAGAATATTTTAAACTACCTAGCGATACATTTATTATGATTGTCGAAGTTTTAATTTAAAATATGTTTATAGTCATAATTTTCTCAAGTAAGTGAAATAAATGTAATTTCTTTTTGAGAAAAATAAAGTATCTTTAACCATATACATACTTGTTTCTCCCAACTTCGTCCGGGTACTAAACTAACGTCGTACACACAAAGGAATCCATCAACGGATAGTTTTCCCTCCGGCATCAATTTCTGTTCATATTCTTTCTCAATACCCAATTGATTCTTACACACATACATTAACTTCTCAGCAGACTGCAGTTTAGTGGCCACACACCGTTTGATGTAAGTTTCGGTTTTGCCAACAGCTATAAAGTTAAATAAAAATATTATATATTAAAAATAACTTAACAATGGATTCACTTATAAAATATTGGTTTGCACAACTAATATTGTATACACTAAATATATATATAATTTTAAATTTAACAGTAATATACATATCATTAAAATATCTTAATATCACTGAGATTTTTTTTTTTCATTTTAAAACTTTTTCGCAGCCAAAAGCTAATCGTAATAAAGTAAGTGGACTAAATAATTGTTTGTCAATCAGAAAATAATAATAATAGGGAAACAGGAAGGTTTTATTTATAAACATATACCTACTGAAAACCTTATACATTAAGCTGAATCTGTTCAATGCCCTAGGTAATAATGATTTGACTGTCAAATATGTATTTATTTTTATTCACATAGTGGCATAGATTGCTAATCATCATGATGATTACTCTGTGGAATTAAAGCCACACTCATTTCATAATACTTTAGATATTTTTGATTGTTTCAATAAAAATTTAGGAAACATATAAATAAGCCTTTTCCAAAGTGGACGTTAGCGACCCCTTGTGGACGCTATAGGCTTAAAGGGGGCGGTAAGAGACCCAGAAAAAAATGGAAGGAGGGTTGATTGTAGTTTCATTTAGCTAGGATAAGTTATAATGGTTTTTCAGTTGATTTAAAAAAGTGGTATCCAAGATTTTCACGACTTTTATTCATTTAATGAAACTAATATTTTTCGGATTATATTACGCTACTTTATTATTGTAAAAAACTATACACCCGACGTTTCGGCAACTTTTAAGCAAACGTGATCACGGGCAGACGTAATTTTTTACAAAAAAAAAATTCGCATATAAGCCGATAAATATTAGTTTCATTGAAATAAAACAACTGGTGCCAAAAAAATATATTCTCAAAGTAATCAGTAGACAAAATAAGTTTGGGAACCCCTGATATAAATGACGGTCATTTCAAGGTCATATGCTAGAAAAAGTAGTAAACCCTATTGCAAATAGAAAGCTCGTAACTTTATATAGTACAATAACTTTGAATGTAAATGAAACTAATATTTTTGCTACGGTTGCTGAAAAGTAGCCGAAACGTCGGGAGTATGTTGTTTGTAATCAAAAATAAAAACGCGAAGTAAAATCCGAAAATATTAGTATCATTTAAATGAGTACTCGTGAAAATCTTAGATCTCATTATGAATACCTTTGAATGGTTGAAAGCAGGCATCATCAACAAACTCAGTCTGTTCAACCACTTCAAAGCGATACTCTTGTTCATCTTGCTCCTTATGAACGCTGCCCCAGTAAAGAAAATGATCATTGTTGACCACACGACCACTGAAGTCCGACTGAAAGAATAATTAGATGAGAGTCGATTAGTTAATATTAACATAAGTTTGATTTTTTCTACATATTTCTTGTCTGTAGAAGAACATGACTTACAAAGAGAAAATATTAAAGTACAAGTAGCAGCATTAAGAAATGAAATCTTTAGAGATATTATACAATATGTTTGTGAAATTTCAACATGGAATGTTAAGTTGAAACAATAGACATTTCTTAAAGTAGAAATAACCTCCAGTAGAAAGCTACTTCCCATTTACTAGCACACTAAAATTTTTGTGTATCAAAACAATTGATATCTGCCATTATTTAAAAATAAGACGGAACTATTATCACATAGCTTTACTATTATCAATTTAGTTTTCCTGAAGATATTCAAACATTAACTACCTATACCTCATACATGAAACAACCAAAGTTAAAAAAATAAATGTTTCCATCTTTTCTTTACAATTAATTTATGATGTAAATAATGATTTAAAAAATAAATATTCATGAGCTGCCAAGTTATTTTTAAATTTTCATTATGTCCATGGGAATATTCTACTCTTAGATTTAATTGACTATTGTTATTTCATTATATTCAAATAACTTACTTGACTTAAAACAGAAATATGATCAACATTATAGTCATCAGCGTCTGTGCGGACAAATCTATTGCACAAACAGGATTTTCCCACACCCAGTTGACCCTTTTCTTTCTCAGTACCTGAAATGAAAACATGATATCTCTAGCAACATTGTCTTGTACTATTGAGGACTGTAAAGCCTATTTAAAAGAATAATTACATTATCCAAAACTCAAAATTAATGTTTAATGAGAGTTAAAATATGTTAAAAATATATATATTCATTGTTTAGTTGTAACCACATAGTTCATCAAAGCAAAAGTTAATTTTTTACCAAAATGATGAAAATATTTTAAGTGATTCGCTTTTGCACCAACTATCTGTGAGTAAAAGTATATTCAAAATCAGTCCAGTTATTTGAGAAATTAATGGAAAATTAAACAAAAATTGTACAATGTAATATCATTATGTGTTCTAAGTATTGTACAATGTAATATCACATGTATCTAGTTAAAATCAGTACATAATTATTATAAGAAATACTCCAATAAGACATATTTATTTTGTAAAAATATAATAAATACATAGACATTAACATATCTATCTTTAAATATTTTATATATACAATGAAAAAATCTCAAAATGTTATACACAGAAAATATATATAACATATATTTTATAACATGTTAATTCAATAAATAAAAACACAAAAAAAATCTTAAAACAATATGAATAGAAATTTTATAGTAAATATAATATATCTGTCATGTTACATTGATAAGAATTATTAAGAGGAAGTGTAAAGGAATAAGATAAGTTGACAATAGACATGCACAATTGATGTCAAGTAATCATTTGTTTATGAATGAATGAATCATAGAATTTATTTTTATCTCCATTGATGAAATGAGTTACATTCAGCTTTCTTTATTTTTTGAATTAACATGAATTTTAAATTGAGTATATGTTAAAAGAATACATATTTTAATAGATTTTTTAAATTTAAACTAAATAGATTTTCTATTATGAAAGAAGAATTCTTCAAGACAAAATCAATAAAGCATATAGTTTTATAGATTTATATAGTTCTATATGCTTATATTTTATATTTGTGCATTATATTATAAATTTTTGTGTTTACATCAATAATAATATTATCAAAAAAGCAAATGCTTCAAATAAAAAGAATTAAAGATAAATGAAATATATTAAAACAATACTATTTTCTATACATATACTCATGTAAACATATACATATATGTAATAAAATGAATGTTTTATTAATTTAATATGATTCAAAAACAATAATGCTATGCTCTTTAAGCATGATAAGAAAAATAAAAAAATTTCTATTTATCTTTAAAGATAATATTAACAAAGATCTTCTACATATAGTGGGAATAAATAATATTAATACATATATACAGTTTTTAATGAGAAACAATCATTTATATAAGTATTCGTACAATATTAATTAACTTTTTGAGAGAATCAAAGAAAATATATATACACTCAATAGATATATGATTAAATTAAATAACATATATGATAAATGCAAATATTTCACTAATATATATACAAATATAAAAAAAATCTACCTATATAACAAAATTAATTATATATTTATTCATAGCTATAATAAATTACTTTTAAATAACAAAAAAAACTTCAACATTAGTTTTAATGTAAAGCAATTGTTTAATGTTATGTTAATTTAAATTACAATGGAACTCACCAGACAATCCAACAATGGACACAGTTACTAATTTACCACCAATGTTCTCAGATTTCTTTGCCATCTTCCTTTATATCACTCTAATCTGTTGTTTCCCAGCTCGTATAACACACATCACAACACGGGTTCAGCTTGAAAGACAAAACTTATATATGAATGTATAAAACTAAGTTCATTTTAGTTTATTGAAGAAAAGCATTTTTTAATATTAGCGATCACTGTCAAGGTCAATGAATTCTCAGTTTTAATTAAGGGCACTACAATAAGGGCGACGAATAGATTAAAAAAAAAAACTCGTTAATTAGCGAAAACGGAAGGGAACGAGTTATGTTTGCCAGATGTAACTATATCGAACGATAACCTGCCATTCAGACGATATTCATACAAAAAATATGTTAACCAATCGTATTAAAGCATAAATAAATTCATTGTTGTAAAATATATATAAGAAAGAAAATGTAAGGAGATAATTTATTGTGTTCTGATCAGCCCTCTACTTTGACATATCAATATTACAATTGTAAGTTCATTTTATATAAAAAAAAATAAGCAAATTTTAAATATGATAAGAACCTACAAATAAAACACTTTTTAAATCTCACAAATCACATTTTTCACTCAAATCCAATTAATTTTTCTATGAAAACGCAGTAATCCTTGTCTGACACAACTCGCGTTGCTTTGCACGAACTGGTATTGCCACACCTAGGAATATATTACATTGTGTAAAGATAAATAATATTACAATTTATGTACATCTTCCACTTTATACAATTATTCTTAAAACAAAAGATGAAAATTCAAATTATAAGGTAAATATAATCGCAGTATAATAAAAAAGATTCCAAATTCGAAGTATGATACAAAATCATAGTTTTACATATTTCTTTTTCTTATTAGAAACTCCAGTATAATGTTATTGTATGATAGCTCAAATGATGCTTTTGATATATACTTATAGGCCTCGTACATTTTTAACTGTTCGTTAGATAATTAATAAGATTGAGTTAAAATTATCTCACAGAAGTTTGAAACGAAAATGTTGCAGGAATTAAGTAACCTTTGACTTTGTATTGTATGTATTCTCTTATGTATGTATTCACTTGTACTTCTTTCCCATTCCATGTAATATTTTCGTTTAATTTATAAAACTATAATGAAACTAGAATTATTCCCAGATCTGTAACATATGTTGATATTGCTTTTGGTTTCATGAGTAGGATGTAAATCAAAAAATTCAAATTTTGATGTAATCCTAAAAATATTTAGAAATCGATGGTCACATTATAAAGATAAAATATAATGACTTTTGACTTATACTAAAAACTGCAGATTCTCAGATCTTCTTCTTCTTTTCTGGCAATTTCCCAGCTTTAGCCAGGGTCTGCCTTATATGTTGTGAATAGTTTTGGCTAATTGTTTTGATGACCGGCTGCTTGCCTGACATCAACCCTCTGCAGATTTCTTATGTTCTACTTTATAAGGTGATATGTATATCTGTCTCATTTCATTATTCTGACTTTAGGAATCCACTAGCTAGTAGCAACATTGTGCAAGATTGACAATTGACAGCACCTTTACGAAAACACAAGCGCATAAATGTCTCTCCGCGATATTTTCCTGAGAAATGACTTCTACAAATGATGGAAAAGACGTGAAAAGTAATCAAATAAGTGGCCCCAAAAGCAAAACATATTTTATTGAACTTTACAAGGTAAGTGTTTTTCTTTAATCTTCCTTTTAGTCATAAATAATATGACGCCGTTGTGGTCGTAAAGTCCACTACAGGTCCGCCATATTTGTCTCCTACAAAGTCTTGTTTTTCTATATTTCTTTCAATATTTTCATATTTATTATGAGAGCAAATAAAAAACATAAGTAAATTTATATAACATTAAAGAAATTCAATATTTTTTCCCATTTTGTGTGCCCTGACTTTTATGTTATAAATATTTTTATATCTCCATTGAAAATGAATCTTACCGAAATGGTTTCACTATGTTTATAGACATATTAGTTTTTAAATGCCAGGATAATGTTACTTTTTATAATTTCTTAGTTTATTCTATTCTAGTCTCAATTATTAATGCATGAATATCACTTTTGACATATCAGCCATACTTAAACATCGTAATGTCACGTATTCCCCACAAATTATAACACCATAATATTTATACATATATTTATATGTTGATGATATCATTGTTATGTGATAAAACACTAGAAGCTTTCAAGTATCAATGCATAATTGATAATTGAATGATCTCCTTATTGTTTCTTATATATACCAAACCTTTAGGAACATAATGTTAGTCTAATATAAATATATTTATATAGAATTGATGAGAATATACATACATAGTAAAGTTGATTAAATAGTCTTAATACTATTTTTAAGCATCAATAATGATTATATAAAGAATCCAATAATAAGGATTATTTACAACCTACAATCATTCTATATTATTATATAGTATAATTGATTTTTAATAACTTCAATTATAACTTTGTATTTGTATATATAATTTTTTATGTATCTATTTATTCTATCTTAGATAATTAAAACCATTAGGAATAAATGTAATTATAAACTTATTTTTCTTTGCTTGAATTTTTTTTATACTTCCAAAGATATTGTTACTAATAAACATAGACAAATTTGTAAATTTTATGCCAATAAAAGAATTTAAATTTTAGAAGACTAGTTGCATGTGCAAAATATTTTTAACATAAAAGTAATGTTGTTTAATAGTTTCATTAAAATTACAAATAAATTCTGTAGAATGAAATATTTACACTGTATTTGAGCCTGTAACTTCCAAGATATTGCTTTTAGGTTGTTTTACTTATTCAGCTATTATGTCCTAATTTTCGATTTAATTTTTATTTTAATTCTATTTACAAGATGTCTTCTATAAAGACATTCAGATATAGCCATATAAGTGAGTCAATTTATTTTAAATTTAACATTACTAAATGTTACAAAAGCATGCTTCAGAGTCATCAATTCATACATTCTGTACTATAACAAGTGTTTTCAGGTTGGGAATATTAATATTATTTACAAATAGTTTCACTTTTCTGTTCTATGTTTTGATTGAACAATGTATTGTTACTTTGCAACTATTTAGATTTTATATTACAGAATGTAAACATTTCTGGATCTCATTCTCATGAATCGATGTTTGTTTATTTTTTTTCCACTTTTATGATTTTTTGAAAATCAAGAATAGCTATTTGAAGCTCATTTTGAAGACTTTGTAATGTAATATTTGTATTTCAATTTTAAATGACTATAATATGTTGATGGAATTAATTAAGTTTATTTATGTTATATCAAAAAACTAAAATAAATAAAATAAAATAAATATATTTTTGGAGTTTACCTTTAAGCATAAATCTCCGTGTTTTGAAGTGCGACAGAATGATTGACATATTAGCTAGTTATCAAATCTTATGTAAAAATAAATGTTTGTATGAGAAATAGAAAAAGGCCGTTTTAAGGGGTTTTCCCGAAAATGAATCAATTTTTTCAGCTTTTAAACCTTCCCTGAATCTCCATGAACATTACAAGACTAAGATAAGATATATCCGTTCAGCCATTCTCTTCTCAAAACACTCAGTACCTTTTATTAATTTAATATAGATCCAGCACATGGTCTACAATAACACAATGATAACAAAACTTTTTTTTAATTTGATTGCAGCGTTAACTGTCGAGACAGACTAAAATTAAAATTCGAATATTATTTAAAATTTGACACTGCGATGGTAGCGCCGTCTGTCGGATCCAATGTAAAACATTCAAAAATCAACAGCTACTAATAAATTAAAATTTAATTAAAAAAATATTGTCCAGCGGACAAAATTGTGAATCTAAACCATTCCCAAATCCCCTTGAACACATACAAAAAATTTCATCAATATCGGTCTAGTCGTTTGAGAGAAGTTTAGTGACATACACTCACAGAAGAATTATAAAGATAAAGATTAATTACAGAATTTAAATTTTCATCAAAACATCTTTACAGATTGTATCCAACCATAAATATTATTAGCATAAAATGTTAAAGGTACATACAGTATTTTATATATATTTTTTGTCCATCTTTCACTAAAAGTTATTATTACAAAATTATCAACATGATATTGATATTTTAAACATGTTTTATCAAAACAAATTAGTGATAGAAGCCTTACAGCCTAATTCTCCATGAATATTATCACTAAACTAATAAGAAACATTATATTATAGTTTGTATTAATATATATGTATATCTTTAGTCGCTAGAAGCCCGTCTAAGTGGTGATTGTACCGGTGAAGAGCGTGCGCGTCTCCTATGTGAGTCGTGGCGCCGCGTGCACAGCCTTTGTCAGCACTCGGCGCCCACAACACAGACCCATCTACTAAACTGGATTCAACAGCACACAGCTCGTACAATACTACAGGTAATACTCATTGTAGATATAAGTTTGAATTTATTATATGTATACTAGCTGCCCCCCGCGGTGTTACCCGCGGATTTCCGGGATGTAAAGTAGCCTATGTGTTATTCCTGGACGTCAGCTTCCTGTATACAAAATTTTATCAAAATCTGTTCAGCCATTTGACCGTGACGAAGTAACAAACATACACACACACTCACAAACTTTCACAATTATAATATTAGTAGGATCAGTAACTATCTTCAGTTTTGTCCACATAGACTCTTTGAGGTACTCATTATCCTTTCCCATCTTCAACGACTCATTCATCAGATTTGGCACAGTTTGGAACTACCATATCAATGTCCTTTAGATTAAACAAAATATTTTATAAATTGGCCTTTCGTTGAAGAACAATAGTTATAAACAGTGCCGAATTTAGTATGTCATCTATTTTTAAGTCAATTAATATGAAGCCTAAATTACTTACATGATATTAACTAGCTTAATAGTTCTAGCCTATTACTTGAAATATTGTATAATTGTTTTTTGACTTGTTCCATATGTGATGTGTATCCTTAAGTTTACTTGAATTAGTTAATTCTGAACTCTATAAATATAAATGTTATTAAATTATGTCTTATTCACATGAATTTTTTTTAATTACAGACAGAATGGCAGTCACCAAAAAGCAAAGATCATCATACATGGCTCGAAGAAGCGATAGATGAGTTCATACAAGAATGTCAGGATGCTATATCGAGGAGGGAAGGGGGATGGAGTCCATCATGGGAAAACCAATTACGGCATAGAGCTCTATGGTTTCGGAGCACCCTGACAAATCCATGGGGACACAATGTGCTAAAGGCATTACTGGATTCTAGAGGAACACAACCAAGCGACGAAGAAGGTAATTATGTCCATAAAACAAGATTTTTTAACATACATATTTCATAAATTTTCGCGAGTCTTGTTCATATAAATGAAACTAATATTTTTCGGATGTACTGTAAAGTAGCCGAAACGTTGGGAGACTGTAGTTTTTTGTTTTTTTTTTGTTTATCAAAACTAAAGTCGCGTAGTACAACCAAAAAATATTTCTCACATTTAACAAACGTTTCCATTCTAGCGATTATATGATATTACCTTTTTTATATATGATAATTTAACTCCAAGTAAAATAATAATTATTATAAGATAAAATTGTTGTATGAATTATTTATATTTATATAATTGTTCAGTTCTAGAATGGCTGAAACTGGAGCGTGCTGTGATGTTTGTAACGCGACTTCGTCAACTGGCTGCCTCCAAATGCGACGATCTCGCCCTACTACTAGCAACGTGTGTCATGAATAGACTTCGGGCTACTACTGTCGATCAATCACAATCTGGAGGTATATATATACTAATTTTTGCCAACGACCGCGTCCGCACGTATTTCGAAATTGGAATCAAAGATATTTATTTATAGAGCTTGCTTAAACTATAGATCTGCTAAAAGATAGTCAGCAACATCTATAAACTTATTCATTTTATATATGTATATGTAGTCTGTTACTTCTCGACAGCCCCTGGCTAAAGATGGGAAATTGCCAGGAAGAAGATAGTCTGTTACTTCTTACCACATACAACTGTTTGGATTTTATTGTGATCATGTCGAAAAATGGAATTACTGAATAAGTTATAACACATGTTATTCTGATTTCTCTCTAATCTTTTTTATAAATGAAATGTAGTTTATCATGTAAATGTTATCCCACATGTTTAGGTATAAATCTACATCATTACTCTTTCATAATTATTCAAGTACCTTTATATTGATTAGTATTTTTAAAGAATATCTTACATATTAAAAAGGTTGAAGTTCTGTTAATATAAATAGTATTTTTTAACATAGCCAGACTCTGATATGTAACCTCTTTTGTTTCATAATCATTAAACTATTAATACCATTTATTTTTATACAGATAACACAGAACAAGCCAACAAAGATTCAAACTTTGTTAAAGTTCTAAGGAAGGAGGCTGGTTTTACTGATGAAGTATGGAATCTTATCACAGATATTGAATTTGTGTTATTATATAAAGGTGAACTACGATCCAGATGTATTGAATTGGTAAGTTTTTGAACAGTACTACATTATGTACCATTTAAATATAATTGCTTCTAAATTTACGAACATTAAGTGTACAACACTATACAGGGTATACAGGGTGACTGGTGAATTACTATCGATACTTGAGGACGTGATATTTGACGATCATATATGACAAAATAAAAATTATTATAACATAAATATTAATAAACTTCTAAGTAAAGTTAACCAAAAGTTGTGTAATTAATTACGCATCGTGTGAACACCCTATAGATTAGGTATACACACACACACACGCGTGCGGCGGCGTAGTGTTGTATCAGGACGCCGCCGTACGCGTCCACACTTGGAACGTGTCCACACTTTATTTATTTATATGGAAATTTGGTCAAAAATTAAGTACCTATTTTTTTTACATAATTCGAATGAGAATCATGTACCGAGTATGCTCCTTAAATATTGATAGTAATTCACCAGTCACCCTGTATATCTGAAGTATATTATTAGAAGAAATTATATCTTCAGCTTATGCTTAAATGTTGTGTTTATTTCAAACAGGCTAAACAAACCCCACTCCACAATGGTTACCAACTTGTCAAAAGGCTGCATAGTCGGCTCGAGTTGTATCCGCGAGAAAAGAAATTATGGAAAAATGCCAAAGAAGCGGCTACACTAGTTGCTGAGGTAAATATAATAATAAAAACAATAAAAAAGTACCTAAATGAAGTATGTCTAAAAGTCTAAGATATTTGGGTGCTTTATAAATGATTTATGAAATGATATTTAATCAGTTATGTATTTCACTTAAATATTAAGTAGTTACACAAAACTACAGGGTATCTGCTATATAAATAAAAACATATTTTAATATTTGTAGATAAAATATATGTGTTATAAGTTTACAGTCAAAATGATGAGTTGTATGGAGAAAATTTTCTTTTTCTGCTATTAAGTTATTATATAATTCTTAGTCACCCTCCTTTTTACAAAGTGCCGATATTAACACTATTATTAAATTTATTGTCTTGTGATTCATTTTATTAGCTACAAATTTATTTCGTTCTTTTTTGGACTCAGTTTTGACACAGTATTGTTAGTATTTTAATTTAGGATAAAGATCCTTTATATAGTTGTTTCAATGTTAGCATTTACATGTATTATTCTTATTTGTTGACATTATCTTTGCATTTTTCACTCATGTAATCTAGACAATTATGTGACGTTTATATGGTTTCACACAGGTTAAAGGTGAGTTAGATATAAAAGTTACATGCAATGTTATTAGTCATAAGAAGGAATATGCTGAATACAAATGTTATTAAAATATTTAAGAATAATCTTTTTCTTTCAAGTAGAACATATTTATTTTATTGTTTATTGTTAAAAGTTAACTATAATGGATTCCAAATAATCGAATTATGAGTACTATAAAGCTTTTAGTTGTTTTTTTATGATTTGACAACAAATTTGACTACACATAATTATATTGCATCCTGTAACCACAAAACAAAGTAATGCAAATTAAATATAATAAAATACACTCACATCTCATCTGTTATCACGGTTGCTGAAAAGTTGCCGAAACGTCGGGAGTATGTAATTTTTCTCAAAAATAAAGCCGCGTAGTATATCCAAAAAATATTAATTTTATTTAAATAATACTCTATTTAACTCTAAATATCTGGTATGAATCATATCTAACATCCCATTATAACATTTCCAGGTGGTGATAGCAAGATGTATGGTAGTGCCTCAATGTACGGGTGCAACACTAGTCTCTCTATACGGCTGCGCTAGTTCATTGGTAAGACTGCTGCCTGCTGACAAGCTGCCTGCCGCAGCAGCAGCGTTAGCAGCACCCGCCGCCACCTCCAGGCACTTACATACATTAGCCGAGGCTGTACATACACAGGTTATAGGAATAACATAAGTTCTTGTTCTATTCAATAAAACTATATTAAACTAGCTGCGCCCCGCGGTGTTACCCGCGGATTTCCGGGATGTAAAGTAGCCTATGTGTTATTCCTGGACGTCAGCTTCCTGTATACAAAATTTTATCAAAATCGGTTCAGCCGTTTGAGCGAGAAGAAGTAATAAACATTCGCAATTATAATATTAGTAGGATTCGTAATATGTGTATTGTGCTAAGTATTTAGACTGAATGATAGAACATGATATAATAAAATTATCATACATACATATTACTTGACATAATATTATTTAACATTACCAACCAAGTCTTACTATACATAACAGTTCAAGTAACAAATTACTTCTGAGATAAAGTTAAAATGGGATGAGTTTCTTTATATAAATTGAATTATTTAACATATTTCAGCTTTTTTCATAATTAAATTCATATTATTAAATAAAATCTTAAATATATTTCAGTGTAAAAATGAGCAAACTGCCTTTGTTTGTGAGCTGTATGTACGTGCAATCACAGCTGGTATGAATGAATTGGAAAGGCTGAAAATGAAGACTGAAAAGGTAATGAACAATGTAATTTTTTTTATTTTTATTTTTATTTTAATTTATTGGGAAACAAACAGTATCACAACCAATCAACTGAAAAATTCATACAAAGATACACAAACCAACCAAGTTTCCACCAATTACAAGTTCATTTGGAGCAAAGATGAATAAAACGTCCAAACACAGGTTGGCCAAAATATAAAATAACATATTAAAATTAAAATACAAAAATTGATAACATTGAGCAAAAATAATAATATGATCAATGAAAATTAAGACAATTATTAAAAAAGAAATAAAAATCATGAGATAAACATAGATTAATAAAAAAATAATAATTTAAAAATAAATTAATTACAATTTACAGGCATTACTAATTTCTTTTCTTATTTTATTTTTTGTACACATTATAAAATCTATATTGGAAATACATTTATTATATTTATCACAGTAAATATCTTCTAATATCTTCTTCTTCTATATATATAAAAATGGATTGCTGTTCCTTAGTCTCGCTAAAACTCGAGAATAGCTGAACGGATTTATCTTATCTTAGTCTTGAAATGTTTGTGGAGGTTCAGGGAAGGTTTGAAAGCTGAAAAATATTTATTCGTTTCCGGTAAAACCCTAAAAACAGCCCTTTTGTATTCCCCATACAAATGTTTTTTTTGACATTAGATTTGACAACTAACTAATATGTCAATCATTCTGTTCGATTGAAACAGGAGAAACCTGATTATTAATGGCCTCTAAAACGGAATTGAGTTCGCCCGGTCAGCTATACATATATTACTAATGACGAAACTAACGCGGACGAAGTCGCGGGCAAAAACTAGTCATTAATATATCAAAGTTGCATTGTTAACTTGTTATATTTACTGTATTATGTTTAATTCTCTCAAATATTGCTTATGACTACATATATTTTGCCTGTATTCTAAAAAGAAAGTTATTACATATATCATATAACTATTTCCAGGAATCTGAAGCCAGATCTACTGAACAAACTCTATCCACCTGGTTTAGTCAACTGGGTGAGCTATTATCAAACAGCAAAAGATTGGATTGTGAATGTATATTGACAGCATTCTCAGTACATCCATCTGCTGAAATGTATGAGAGGGTGAAGGCTGCTCCAATACTCGCTCCAATACAAAGTGTGAGTAACCCTACTAATACATATTATAAATGCCAAAGTAACTTTGTCTGTCTGTCTGTTACGCTTTCACGCCTAAACCACTGAACTGATTTTAATGAAATTTGATACAGAAATAAAGTTGACCTTGAGAAAGAACATAGGATAGTTTTTATCCCAGACTTTTGAAAGGTTCTCTTGGAAACACGATATAACCGAACTCCACGCGGGCGAAGCTGCGGGCGGAAAGCTAGTTAATAATAAATATATATTAGAAGTATTATGTATTCATGTGATTTGACACTTCCAGTTGTATAATATTTATAACAATTACTATTAAAAACAGTAACTGTTCTTTAACATTTAGTCAATAAAAATTAAATGTTTGAAAAAGAATATCATAATTTCAGATTTTCTACCTCGGCTATTTCTTTTTAGTTTACAATAAATTTATATCTATGAATTAAATCAAGTTAATAATTTAAATGATCATTAAGTATTATACAGGGTGACTGATGAATTACTATCAATATTTAAGGAGAATACTCGGTACATGATTCTCATTCGAATTATGTAAAATAAATAGGTACTTAATTTTTGACCAAATTTCCGTATAAATAAATAAAGTGTGGACACGTTCCAAGTGTTCCAAGTGTGGACGCGTGCGGCGGCGTGCTGATACAACACCACGTCGCCGCACGCGTGTGTGTGTGTGTATGTGTGTATACCTAATGTAGGGTAGTCACACGATGCGTAATTAATTACATAACTTTTGGTTATCTTTACTAAGAAGTTTATTAATATTTATGTTATATTAATTTTTATTTTGTCATATATGATCGTCAAATATCACGTCCTCAAATATGGATAGTAATTCACCAGTCACCCTGTATAATAGAACTATTATTTATGTTGTATAATTATTAATTTCAGGATATCCAAGAAATAAAAGAGGAATTTAACTCTGAATACGGCAGTTGGGCGAACGACAGTCGTACACAGACGAATTTGGTGAAAACATCAGAAACACTTAATCTTAAGCAAACACAGAAACAGGCTAATGTATTGTCAACAGCGATTCTCGCGGAGGGCGAAGCCCTAGGCCTTGGGCCGGAGCTATGTCAAGATCTGTCTGTTCTGATATCCGGACCACGAGTCAAAACACTTTCATGGGATACAGACAGGTTTGTTACTTGATACATATAATCTTCTACCTGGTGATTTCCCAGCTTTAGCCAAGGTCTGCCTTACATGTTGTGAGTAGTTTTGGCTAATTGTTTTTACGACCGGCTGCCTGCCTGACATCAACCCTCTTTTGGAAATCATCATTAATCAGCAGCAAAAAACTTAATACATATAACATTATCATAAAAATAAACAAAAACCTCAATTTTTGAAGCCGGTTTAAATATATATGCAACACAATGGACCCATGAATCTGTTGGATGCTTAGAGGTTTTGTCTGTTAATATGTTTCTATAATACTATTAGGTCACTTATATCTATTAAAGTTTTTGTTTTTATTAAATTAAAATAAATGTCGTTAAAAATAATATTTAGTTACTGAAAAGACTTCATTTTTGTTTATGATGTTCAGTATACATTTTAGTTATTATTCCACAAGTAATTCCCATCATACCAAAAATTTCGACAAGATTAGGTGCTTTCTTCAAGTATTATTTATTTCCATGTATTCCATAAATAAAGTATATTGTAGGAATGTATGTATTTATTATATGTTTATGTTCCAGAGAGCAATTATTGGAAAACTGCCGAACATATATGGAAAGAACTGGTGGTGGGACTCGGGCTCTTACAACTGAACTCCGATACTTAAACCTCGACCCTCGCAGCTTCCAACATCTACCTGAAGAACAAGATGATGATTCTGATATGTTCTACGGCATTGAGAAAGGTTATATATCATTTATATATGTTATAAAGACATTTATTTGAATATGAGCACTAATATGTCTCTAAGTGATATTTAAATAATTTAGATATTAAGTGTGTAATCTATATAAATAATAACTACTTGATCATAAACATATTTATTTTTTGAAGGTGGGTAATACAAATGAATCTTATATTCGGACTACTACGCGAGTTTTATTATTTCCAAAATAGTTTCATTTAAATGAATACTTGCGAAAGTCTTTGATCTTATGATGGGTAATACAGTTTTCTTGCTCCAATCAAACATAAGCTTATCCTGAGACTATAGCTCTACTAACTTAAAATTTTATTATATAATAATTATTAGTGTAGACATATAATTTTAAGCTTTTTCTAGAGAGTGTGTAAATATATGCTCAAACTTGAATTGTACTTAATTTTCAGGCTATGAACACCTGGTTGAATTTCAAGAAGAGCCGGAAGAAATTTGGCAAGACGTCGCCTCCGACGAAACAGGTAAGAGTGACATTACGACATTAGACTTACCAGTGACGACGCATCGACAGAAGAAAACTAAAACAAAACGAGTAAAATATAGCTCCGAGGAAGAATCAGATCCACTGAGTCCAGACTTAAACAAAGTTAACGAGAAGAAACAACGGCCGCACAGCAAAGAAAGGAAAGAAAAGATAAAAGTGAAGCAAGAAATAAAAGATATTAAAGAAGAAAGCCAAGATAATGGAAAACAAAAGAAAAAAGAGCGTAAAGAACGTAAGAAGAAAGATAAAGATGTTCAGCTAAAACCTTTCAACAGGCCAAGTGGTTCGTTATCAAGGCTTGTTGGTATGAAAGTGGCTAGAATATCAACTATCAATAAAAATCTCAACAGCGACGTCAATATTAACATGAGTATAACCGACAGTGATTATGACAGCCAGGGAAAATCATCACTAGCGTCCTTAAATTCAGAGGGTAATGACACTGACGTGTTATTTGATGGCCTCTTTTCTATGGAGGATATTAAGTCACCGGAAAAAAACCTTAACGCCCATATACTGAAAATAACTAAACCTATCGAGTCAACATTATCAAAGAGTGTAACGAACATATACGGTGATAACGTATCACCCGCTTACCGAAATACATATGCGGCTTCGAATGTAAATAGTGTTAACGAAGACGTAAAGAATAGTATAAAGAAACTAATTGAATTTAGGCGATGCAAGAATTTAAATGATACCAGAACTGAGACCCACAACCAAATACCTGCGTCAGTCCAAAATAATTCAGTTCCGTCAGTAAGTCCAAGATATTTGTCACCACAAAGTAATGTACTGCCAGCATCTAACACACAAAGTATAACAACAAATGCGCCTAAAGTGTTTCTTCCCAAAGAGAAAATAAAACAATTAAATGCTCTTAAAGATGAGGTTAACAGTATTTTGCAGAAGACGGCGTTTAACAGAAATAAAATCGGCATTAATGAAGCTGCTGAGAAATTCTTATCTTCAAACACAGTTATAACCCGACCAAGTGACCAAACAAAATCTTCGGTCTCTGGGGTTTGTGTAAAAAAGATTGATCCATATAAAAGCAATGACCATATGAATATTAATTATCGCCAATTGGAAAAAGCGACCAAGAAGACCATACAAAGCAAACCATCGCCTTATAGAAATCCGCACCATGAAATAATTAAACAATTGCAATCAGGAGTAGAAAAAACCGTAGTGAAAAAAATCATTGAAAGTCCAAGTCAAATACAATTTCAAAATTTCTTAAAAGCTACGATGTCGAGTCATAAGCCTCAACAGATACAGAAATCTGAAAGCATTAGCAACATACATCAAAACATTTCGCAACATATATCAAATAAAACACCGAATTTAATTCAGAATAATAATGAAAGTAAAGAAAAATTACTTGGACAAAACGTGCATCTTAGTGCCTCTAAAAGTAATCAAAATATATCGCAATCGATAACACATAAGCAAGAATCGCCTAGCCAAAGACAATTCCACAACTTTCTTAAAGATTTACAAGATAGTATAAACGCTGGTGCTTCCAACGACAAACAGGAAACCAAAATTTCATCTACGCATCCCTGTCCCAAACAAATGATTCAAAAGAAACCTGATAATGTCCCTAAAACATTTGCACGTATGAGTTACCTCAAAACCAAGCAGTGTGACCAAAAATTAAAACCGTCAATTGACAAAACGCTACCCAATAAATGCCTTCAAGGTAAACCAATTCAAAACCTACATTTACAACCAAGAGGGGACATTTTTATATCAAAAATTGACATAATAAAACCTCAAGAGACAAAAGATAAAATTATTTTAGAAAAGAGAGACACCAAAGCTAATCCATGCATACAGTCGACAACACCTTTAAGAATTGTTGGTCAACAACCTATATCACATATAGTTTCGAGTAGTTGTCAAAAGTCAATACCAATCAACCAACCAACCAATGTTGTGACAACAAGTGACATAAAATTTAACGAATTAGTAACATCTTCAACGCCTGGAAAATCTTTTTTGTGTCAAAAAGATCAAGACGATGTGTTAAACTTATTACGTCAAAAGTCGATATTAAATTCAAATAAAACACAATCTATGACTGTTACTCCAAAGAGCGTTGTTGACAGTAATTCGACGTTAAACAATAAAAAGCCCTTAATTGTTAGTCTCGACACTGTTGCAAGGAACTCTAACACAATCAACTTAAAAACGAATGTAACAGTGTCTGAAAAAAAGAATACAAATGAGAAATCTGTTTCGTCATCGGCATTAAATACTTCGAAGACTCAGAATTCTTCTCAAACCAAAAAGGTGCGAAAAGTTAAAGAACCTAATAAGAACACGAAAAATGCGACACAGAGCAGTGATTGGGAAAGTGTTATGGATGCTATTTTAGCAACGAAGACTCCATCTAGAGTGTATCAAACTGGACCTAACGCTCTTGACATTGCTCTTAATAAAGATTCCTTTGAAAGATGCTATTCAAAATCATCCACTATACAAAATGAAAAGAAACCTTATACAAATATTACGAAAGAAACCATTAAAAGCAATGCTGCGAATCAGAAGAAAAATAGTAGTAAAACGACGAACCCAACAGTTAAAAGTTCTAAAAATCCTGAATTGAAAACAAACTATAAGCAATGTGCAGTCAGCAGCAAACCCCAAGCAAATATAAAAAATGTTGCGGCAGCCAAAACACAAACAAATCAAATTCAAAAAACAGTGGCACCAAAATCACAACAAATTAGTTTTGAAACTCTTTTAGATTTAACAAAAAGAGATGTTTCACAAAGCCAAGCTAAGCCATTGCCAAGTGTTATTCAAAATCGTAACGATCCATTTATATCTGGCATAAAGAACTCTGATTATGATCTTCTAGAAGAGTTGATGGACGATGAACTTCGCCAAGAAATAGGCGAATTATCAGATGAAGAGATTTATAACATTTCCCTCTCGAATACAGCTAAATATAAAAATCAGTCACAGACATGCGAATCTAAGAAATCAAACCCAATTTTGAACAAAAATGTACATGTACAACCTCCAACAAATGTTGATTTATTTAACAATGCTTATCAATTATCTGACTTAAATTCCAAAGAACCTTCAAGAAGTACTTATAAGACAGAAACACCAGGAAATAAGTGCATCTCAAATACAAATACTACGGAACCTACTAAATTAAGAATAATTTCCAACGAAGTAATTGTTTCTCCCGGAAATGCTAACAATAATATTAACTATTACTCTGTTATAAATAAGACTGCCCCTGCAAATCGTGAACAAGGTGAAATAAAAAATATTTGTCAGTCTATGGCTAAAGATACAAATATCTGCTTTTCGAATAAAGCAGCTCCTGCTACTACCAGTTCGTCTAATAAAACAACTGATTTAAACGTGAAAATAGAAGCTCAAACCAGGAACGTCATCAATAATGGACAAAACAGTCGTTTTAATATTCTGGATCCCACGAGGGTAGTTTTGACAGTACCTCAACGAAAAATCAATACAAATGTTATGCTGATCAGTAACGACTATATCTACGATCCCTTTCAGACCGTACAGGTCGACGATGCAAATGTTCATGGAAATGGCTCAAGCTATAACCAAAATACTTACTTTGCTGTGAACCAAGTTCCAAATGTTATCTATCATACCACACAGTTGACAACTCCTGCCGTGAATCCTGTGCTGATCGAAAACTCTATTGTCTTACCAGTCACCGTACCAGTTTCTCAAAATATTCCAAATGTAGTCTCTGAAACACAATACAAGACATCACCTACGATTCAAAGAGATATCCAAGACGATAAAAATATTGTAAATAAATCAAATTCGGAAACTTATGATTCGGTTGCTGAAAAACTAGTGGGGGATTCTAGTTTTCACATTGAAAATACAGATATGAAATCTCAAACTATACAACGTATCAAAACACCTCAGGAAAATAACACGACTTTAAAAAGTTCTTTAAACTCTCAATGTCATAAAACTTTTATTGAAGAGAAAAACGATAATACTGTTAATTATAACGGAACAGACGATTTAAAAAATTTAGACGTTAACATGACTTATTGTAAGCCTAAATTAACAACTGATAATGAGGATAGTACAACAAAATTGAATATATTAAATAAAAGTGCGGGTCAAAATAAATTTACTGAAGATAGCGTCAGAGTGAATCACGATATTGAAATAAATAAACAAGAGTTTGATAGGAAAACTATTTCGCAAAAGTTACTCCAGCAAAATTATAAAAAAGAACAAATCAATTCATCGGATGAACCACCAAACAAAAAAGAATTTAGTGGAATATATCAAAAAAGGTTACGTATTCTAAATAGAGAAATTACACATCGCTGTTCTGATGCGCCTATTCCGCTTGGTTACGAACCAATAAAACAGGAAAAAAAATCTGAAACATCAAGTTTGAAAAGTAAAAGTAGCCCTTATAAGCGGTCTATCACAGAATGCACAAATAAAGAAGATCCCAAACCCACATGTCGACGAATTTTACTACGATCATCAAATTCATTACCAATAGTAAAAAGAGATAAGAGTGACTGCAACCTTTCAAATTTGAAGGAAATAAAACTTGAAAAACGAATAAGAAGAAAAATTATAAGTTCTCATCATAAAAATACACATGAAATACCGAAAACTAACGATGCGACAGTAGCAACAGATATATGTGCAAAGAAGGATGGAGATGTAAATATAAAATCACAAGAATTGAAAATAATTGACAATAAATTTACAAAATCTGAGTCAAATAACGTTTTAAGTGAACGCCAAAATGAAAATAATATATTTGATTCGCATATGAATGTTGATGTAGAAGAAAAAATTGCGCCTACAATAATACAACCTGTTACAAACAAAGGCTCAGAAAGATTGGACCCTAATCTCAAAAATGTGGACGATATAAAGGAAGAAATAAATGAAGACAAAATTCTTGAGGACTGTAAAAACAATAAACCTCTTGAGAGTATAGAGAAGAATTCAACATTGTGTATGAACTCCGCGGATTTGAAATCAAAGGAAAAAAGTAACCAAAATTTATGTAACAGTATAAAAAGTGCTTGTGATTCCAATAAGATTGACAGTAATCAGGTTATTAAAGATGCATATAAAGATAAAATTTTATTTGATGAATTGCCTAATTTAGATGGTGATCCATCTAAAAGATATATACGTTTGAAACTTCCCAATGGCAGTTTTAAAGCTACTATTTATGGTAAAGTAAATGTTAATGTTGACTCAATATTGGAAGATCCTAATATCAAAGCCATGTTATGGGAGAAGATAAACAGCAATACGAAATGTATTTTAAATATTAAACAAATATCTGTTCAATCTAAAGATCGCCCGTCAGTCATCAAAACACATATCCAAGACGTATCCTATGTGACTAAAGATCAAGAAACTATAAATTTAATTAGTGATGACGACGAAGATTGTTCGCTGCAATATTTTGAAACGGAATTTGGTCGTTTTAAAATTGCTTCTATGGATACAGAATTATTTAGGAAACATCAAAGAAGACTATCTCAAAGATGTGAAGTTAGATTACAGCGAATTAATAACCTAAATAGTAAAAAAGGACTTGAAGAGAATTCAGGAATTCTAAATATTGTAAATACTGTTGAAAGTACAAATGCTTTAACATCAGATACTCGGAAACATATTGTAGATGTTATAGAACTAGACGATTCATCAAATGAAAGTGTTGAACTAAAACCAAACTTATATTCCAGCACAGTAAACGATTGTCTCGCCACTTCAAATGTGAAAAATTCACCTGAAGACCTTGAATTAAATGCAACATCTCAAGAAATTAATGAAAAGAATCAAGAATCCGAGCAAGACTCTGACATGTGTGAAACAAAAAATGTTTCAAATGAGTTTGAACTTAAAGAGTGCTCTTTAAAGATTGAAAAATGTGACAAACTTATTAAAGATTATGAACACCTAAAAATAAAAAACAGAAAGTGTTATGTTAATTTAGTAAGACTTGATCTAGCCCATTTTTATCGGAATGAAAATGAAAGTTTGGACTTAGAATATCCACATGGTTTGGAGGACAATCAGTTACCAGAAGTTTTACATGTAGTTGAAAAGAAAGCACCAAGATGTGAACAACCTTTTCAGAGCGCCGAATCAATATCGACCTTAAGTGAATTAGAAATACCAGAAAACGACTTCTTGAGAGTGTCACCTTCAATCATAGAAAATTATAATATATTATATCAAATTGCTTCGAGGATAGCAGCACGTTTAATCACATGAATTTAGTAACTGATGTAATAACATCAAATTGTCGTGCTGATTGGTTCATGACAAAATTAAATATTTGTAACATATTAACAAAGGACTTGAACATAATATCAAATTATTCTTCTTTTGAAGTCGACAACTTAACCCTTTCACCTGATGACATATCCACAGATTGTGATAGTGATAAAGAAAGTAAAGCAGAATCGGATATAACTCATTTTATAGTGACGGAAAATAAACAAGTTGATAGTCTTATTAAAATAACTCTGGATTTATTAACGAAGAATAGCTACATTTTAGAAAATTTAAAAACTATGCAGGAAAAATTAAAGCGCCAGAAAGTTTCAAATTTATCTAGGAAGAGAAAATTGGATGGTATAAGAGTCAGTAATAGCTGCAGCAAAATTTCAAAATTACATGAACAAGTTACTTTGACAACAGATGATAAAATTAATGAAAGTTTATCAGAACTAGAACTTAAAAGAAAGACTCTTTTTGCGACCAAAAATGTTGTATCATTACAAAAAATGTGTTGTTCATTAGTAAATGCTAGAATGGGTTGCTTGCAAGAGGTTAATTCTACAGTCCTCTGTAAGAATAAATCTGAAATTAAAAACTCTTTTGGACCTTTGAAGTCACAAAGAACCATTAACAGTGCACAAAATGCTTCTAACAACATGGAACAGCAACAGGATCAATGTGAATCACAAGAAATAACATTTTTAGAACTAATAAACAATGACTCAGAATTCATGAATGATAGTACAGTGAATGTTCGAAGTAATAATATGCCCAAAGTATGTAACGTGCCTCCGAGCCACGTCGAAAATTGCACTAAATTTATAAGTCATGCAAGTGACGTTAAATCTATTATTGAAAATGACATAGAACTTAAAAGTCAGACACTGGACCAAAGTCTCTCCGTAATATCTGATAATATTGAGAGTGAAAAGAATGATATTCCTTGCATAGAAGATTTAACAGACACAAGTGGCGAAGAAGTGGATAAGATTATATTACAATGTAATTCCAACAATCCTCTAAATATATTGGACGAAAATTCTACAGATAATGTACGAAGTGAAGAAAACAATCAACACACAGAATCGTCTACTACTGACATTTTGACATTGAACACGCAGAATGAAAATACCTCACTTTGTCACCATCTCTCAAAAGAAATCGAAAGTAACAATGAATTAAAGATAGACGTAAATAATGAAAATCTACGTGTCGACATTAACATGGATAAAAATGATATTCTGACATCAAATCTTAAACCAAACGAAAACTCAAAATTTGATGACTTAGCCGATGACATTGAAGTTGTCACTTGTAATAAGACATATTCAAGTGCACCCCATAATATAAAAGAGGATGTAAAGAATATAGAATTATTGAATGAAATACAGCAAATAAAAGAAAACCTAATAGATGTTGCTGTTTCACAAGATTTCCAGGTGGACACAATTTCAGAAAAATATATTTCGTCAAGTGAAATATTGAGTGGAATATCTAAGACCTTCAGGACTTCAGAAGATATAAGAAACGATTCACCAAATAAAATAAATAACATATTCAATATAAACAAAATTAAAGATTGCAGCCCAACTTATCAAGATTTTGATGGTGTACTGGATACTCAACAGCAACAAAAAATAAAAGATTTTAATAATTTTTCAATAAAACAAAAAGACGAGATCAATGAATCATGTCAGGTCATGAGATTGGCAGAATATAAAGAACTTCATCCTGTTGAGAATATTCTAAAAGAGGAAAAACATCTCAGTTTTGAAGAGCTCGCTAGTACAACAAGCTACAATTGTACATTAGATACTAGCGAATCCTCTGAATTATTACTCAAAGATTGCGCAGAAGAAAAGGAAAATGAAACTTTAAGCTTATTAGAAGAACTCTGTGGTAGTAACGAGATTGAAAGCCAGAAAAAATTATTTAATATTGAAGAGAAAACAGATGACGATAGTAAGTGTATAATTAAACCTGAAGAAATAAAATTACAACCATCATCTCATAAATTATCTTCGTTGGTTCCTGAAAAAGTAATTCTTGCAGAAGAAAAAGCTAATCCAGAAACAATGAATTTATGTAAAGATGCCGAAGTAACATTTAGTGAAAGTGAGAACTTTGATCTAAAACCAGTATGCGCGTCGGATATAAATAAAACAGAATGTTTTATACAAGAAACGAAATTGTCAGAAATAAGTCCGGAAGAACTTAAAGTAAATATTTGTAGCAACAAGTCTAAACAAAAAAATGTCACTCTAGTCTACGAAGGTAATTCCCAAGTGGTATTAAAAGGAAGTATATATGAAGATCCTGTTGTAGGTACATGTTATGTTTTTCCCATTGCTAAGAGAGCTTCTTTGATTGAAGAAAATGAATCTATTAGTAACATAGTTGATGAAAAATCTAAAATCGCAATGAATCATTTAAAGAGTAAAATTTTGGAAACGAGATTAAAGGAAGAGGTTAACATCAATGAAAAACAAGACGAGGCTTTAAGTTTTACTATTTTGCCGAAGATAACATATATAAAAGAAAAATCAAAAGACGATGACCTCCATATGTCGAAAGATAAAAAGTATAAACGAAATCTAAAACGTAAAATTGATGTAAGTGATTTTCATAATGGAAAAAAATACCGAAAAGGGAAAAATATTGACTATCCGAAACTCACCATTTCTGCTATCAATGATTTGGCATATAGCAAAGAATATAAACGCCTTTTTGACTATTGTAGTTCTGTTACGTTTTCATATTCAAGACCATTTCATATAGAATATATAGATGTTAACAACTTGCTCAAATCGTGGCCAATAAGAGGTATTACAGTTGATAATACCGAACAGACTGATTTTAAAAACTTACTTTTTGTAGATGAAGACGTGTTCAAAGATCCTTTCGATCCCATGAAACAAACGTTTGCCGAAGAAATTAATTACAATTACAATCATGAATACGTTACCTGTAATATTAATGAAAATAATTTTAGAATGGGTTTTGGTGAGGGGTCCGACAGAGTCATTAAAATTTCCGAAGTTATAGATAATAATTCAAAATTTTCGGCTGCGACTCTGTCGGACGTAAAACAAGCTCAGCCGTTTTTAATGTCCCAAGATCGAGAAATAAGTAAGAGAAAAGGAACCGAAACCGACAAATACGAAGAACAGAAAAATATATTTAAACGGTACTTAACCTACATCCAACTGAAAGAAAAAGTGCGATCATTCTTTAAAAATACTGCTTTAGAATTGAATAGCAGTTGTCTTTTAGATAAAAAAGATTCTTATAAGAATAATGTTTCGCATAGATTTCCTTACGAATTGACTAGTCCCGAATTTATGAAGCCGTCGCCTTTCGAATGTATTGTACAAATAGTACAAGTAGGCCAATTACCAGTTAGCGCAGCGGTTCAAAATCCTGTAACATGTGATCCGAGAGTAACTCAAGTAACAGATGCCAGTCCTTCGCAGTGTTCAGCTGAAAATAGTCCACAAGATGATTCACAGCCTCCAATAAAAACTGAATATACCGAGCTGACAACTGCCGACATCCGCTTTCCTTTAGTTCAAGATTACGAACGTCACATTGAAGCCCAAGAATCCTTAAAAGCGTCCTTTAATTTCGAAAACATTCCCGTTGAAACAGAAATTAAAACAGAGATCAAAGATGAAATACCTGATTTCGAAAGTGTTCAAAATGATTGTAACGAAAACAATGTTCTACAATCATTAGTTGATAAACATATTAATAACGTAGAATATCCGTATGACTCTTCTGATAATTCCGAGGTTTTGAATACTCCAACTAACCCAGAAATTATGTACGACCAAGAAATACAAAGTAACTGTGACTTTATACCTGAACAAGAAGAACACAATAATTCCTCGGAGAAAACAGATCAAATTGCTCATGCAATGAACGCTGCTGGAATAACAACTACTTCCGAAATAATTAATAATACTGAGAACACTGATCAAAATGTATGCCAAGAAGGAATTGATGACGCTTCACCTTCACCTAATGACTTATCTAAGTCTGCTATGAATTCAATTAGTTTTCAACAAGCTCTAGCGCAAATGTTGCCCACGAACTTAAATCAGACTACTGAAGAGAATAATCAGTCTACAACAAATTCACCTTTAACTTCTCAAGTGTTGCATATAGTTCAAAGTAAAAATACAAATGGAAATCAAATTACAGTAGTAGATAACGCTCAAAACCCAGTTATCAATAATTCTAATGCACCTATGTTGCACATAGTACAAAATAAAGGATCCCATACAAATTCTACTCCTAATACGAACCAGGGACAGAATTCTTACGGAGGATTATCTTTACTTGATTCTGGCTTGCAAGCCGGAAGTAATCAACTTCTTCATATCGTTAATACAGGAACACAAAAAAATAACTCCGCTGGACAGTTACTCAAGAGGGTAAATCTTGTAACAAACCTTACAAATAATCAAGGTGCTAATGAACAAAAGATGGTTCAGTTTCTTTGTAAATCCACTGATGGAAAATCCATTCAACTAAATAGTCCACATCAAAGAAGCATGGTTCTACGATTGCAACCAATTGAGTCTAATGTACAGAACAACCCAAAGCAATCGGATAACCAAGATTTAAGTCCCACATCGAATGGAAATAATTCAACACAAGTCAAGGATATTGGAAATCCTCAGCATGAGATCAAATCTCGTTCTGTATACGAAGAAAACTATGCAAAGTTTATTCAAAGTTCTAACAAAACGGTACCTGAAAAATCGACGACTTTACCAAAATTTAATCAAGCTTTTGGTAAACCTGTCTTTCAAGAGGAAAATCAAAAGGCAATGGACTTAGATACAAATAATTCTCATTTATCATCAATCAATTCGGAACCGGAGAGTCCTGAATGTACAGATAGTACAATGAACATTGATCACATTGGTCAAATAAGCAGCCCACCGCTTCTTCTGAGAAAATCTCCAGCTCAAACCCCACAAACACAACCAAACTTAGTGCAACAAATAAAACAAACCATAACTCCCATGAATATACAAACAATGCACGGCGGCGTTATTTACACACGTCAAATACCAGTCAATATTGGAGGAGGCCAAACAATCAATTTAATAACTGTTCCTAGCACCGAGCTTTTGGATAATGATAATCAAAAACATCAAGGTGAAGTAAAATTTATAAATCAAAATGATATTGAATCACCTATTATAAAAATTGTACCACATGGACAAAATAATTCAAATTCAGAGGGCGCAAGTGATGAGGGTAACAATCACATAGGAGTGACAAATGAAAATGGACAATCAGGAGCAACACAGCACCAGCCAGTGTTGACTCAAATGAGAATTAAATTACCTATGCTAAGTAAAACACCTCAAATGGTATCAGGTGCAAGAGTTGTGAGACCATCATTTTTTCAAATACAACGGAATGTTATTGGAGGTGCAAATCAACCTGTCTATCAACAACTCGTTCTAACGGCAGCCCCACCTCTTAGCCAGCACATTCGTCTACCGCAAGCTCAAACAAATCGACAAGTAAAAGTGACCTCTGAGGGCCAGTCGTCTTCTGAAACACAAATGAGTACGTCAACACTTGAACAACTTCGGGAATTCGATATGGTGTTGGAACAAGTAAAAGAACGAAGTACAGTTCAACCTAATCCCGTTCCAAACAATGTATTCGCCAAGGTACACGGATCATCATCAGATGCCACTGATGGTTCATCTGTTACATCTACAGTAACAGAGTCTACGCAGCAAGTTCTTTATTCTATTGGAAACAGTCAATCTTTAAACGTTGCTTATGTAAACAGAAAACCCAACACGACCTTCGTGCGATCACCCGACTCTTCAGGAATTGTAGAATCACCTTCTTCTTCAACACATGTTCAAATGCCCCACACTGTCACTAGTGAGTCGACATCCAACGATGTTTCAGCTCAGCCAAGCCAGCCAAAAGCTGCAAAAGTTAGTTCTAAATCTAAATCCAGACCAAAATCTTCTAGTTCTGCTATGAAAATAAATGCAGTTCCTCCTAAAACTTCCAGTCAAAAACCTTTAGAGGATGAACAAACAACCCAAAGGATTCTATACATCTTGGCCGAATATAAAGAACAAGTCGAAAACTCGCCGGATAAAGATAAACCAGCACCGAGAAGAAGAACAAACCCTCCATCAAATCCAGGGTCATCAAAACGTAAAAAGAGTTCTAGTGGTTCGAGGCGTCACGGCATGCGTGATATGAGTCCCGTTCTCGGGGAAGACACTTGTCGCACGATGGGCTCTGAAGACAGCAGCTGTGGGACTTCACAAGGCGACTGCAACGAAAGCTGTATGGATAGTCATTCACCACAGGACAGTCCGCGAAAAGTAGTGAGAAAACTGACTTTTGACAATGAGGCCTCAACACCCACACAACCTAGGCCTCAACCACAGCGGAATGTCATAGTAGCGGATGGTCAAACGATCACTGTCGCCAGAGGCACTTCTGGCAAACCAACAACAGCGGTACTCATGCCAGCAAATTACCTTTTGCCCGTATCTATGGTAAAGGGTGGACAGCAAATAGCCATAGTAACAAATCGAGGTCCTAAAATCTTAACTGTCGGTGGAGAGGGTGGTACAACAAATGCACTCTTATTACAACGTCTAATTGGACCGGCTGGATTAAAGCCTGTTCTGGCTCGCCCCGGCGTTCGACACGTCCGTTTACCTACTGCGGCTCTTCATAATCTCCACACGTTTAACTTAGCAACGACGACTGTTCAGCCACCAGACAGTACAGCACCACACACAGCAGGGTCGACACCGCCGGAGTTGATCGAAACCAGGGTTACCAGCTCGCCGTGGCCGGAACGGGAAACACAAGAAGTCAAACCTGAACGCGGTTCGAGCCCAGAAGATACGGAACCCTGGAATCTTCCGTCATCAGCAGACCCACACGACTATTCATACGAAGAGACGGTACGAACTGAAAACATGGATAGAACCGTGCTCGTAAGTATATCGCTGATAATATTTGTTAAATCTATATTTCTTTATCAAATTTGAAGTCTAGGACCGCGAGTATTGTCAGTAAAATATTCGAAGATCAGGATGATACGTGTTTGATGCGCATTTTGAACTTCAGGACGCCATACCAGATCGATACAGTCCCGATATGGAGGCGCAAAGGATTTTTGATAAGATGTTCGACATTGACTCGAAAAAGTCGTACATCATTGATTCACAAGATGATACGTCTCGTTGCGCATACGATATTGACGCGTCAGATTGCGGCGATAAGGCCTACCAGCAGGTGATCGTAAATTAGAACAGGCGTCGCCCCCTCAGACTTAGAAAGCCTCTTAGTAAACGTGCACGCCTCAAGTTTCTTTTATCCTTTGCCATTCTTTCTTTCGGTGTTAGTTTGCCGTTATGTTCATATAGACGCGACATCAGTTGGTTAAACATAAAATTAATTATCAATAAATAACATTTACGGACATAATTTTTACATGTAACGCATAAGGCTTTCATCGACCATTAAAAGTTAACGCTTAAAGCTTGCTTTTGTACAATGCCTTTAAATAAAAACAATATAATCTAGAGAGCTTTCAATAAATATAAAATTGTCGCTTGTATGATCTATACATGGCATACTTTCGCCGAAAAGAAGAAAAATCATACTGTTAAGTCTCATAAGTGTCTTCCAATCATTTAATTCTTTGTTATTATGTTTTCTATTTTATAATTTCATTTACCAGCAAATGGGTATCCTTGAGAACATTCTCGAATGCTTGTTATGAATATTCTTCAGTCGTTATCATACCTGAGCCGTTACCAGACGTGAGATGTGTATTATTTTGCATGTTGCAATTGTTCCTCGTTTCTTTCCATAGACAAGTACGATATGTATCCATCGTGCATGTAAATCATTTCCATTAAAAGGAACTCGTTATTAGATTATAGTTTCAAGTATATTATGATTTAATAAATGTTGTAGTCTTATCGTCTATAATTTTTATCTATATTGTGGTTAGATTGATAACTTCGAAACGTTTCCAAGTCATCCTCCTCTGAATTCAAAACATGTTCTAACATATATTCTATCGTTCCGTACTATTCTATTTTCTGGTCTATATTTTAATATTTTTATCATAAAAATTATATTTATAGCAATTGTATATTTCTATAAACTGTAAAGAAATTAAATCATAAATCGAGTAAAGCCCTTCTACTGTTTGTAGTTACTTCAATTTGTTTTGATAAATTTCCATATAAATAATATAAACAAAGTAAATGGCTTATATAATTAATAATATATTAATAGGTGGTGCAAAGACGGGATGGATCACGTCACCATAGATTCGCGCACGTCGCACACGCAGCGGCCATGCGACACAAATATGCCATCTTGGAACACGAATTGAGATTGCAGGTAATGTGGCCATTAAAATATTTTGATTTTTCTTTTGTGTTACAAATCAATTTTCTCATATTGAAACATTTTTTTTTGTTACCAATGATTTTCTTTTTTCATATTGAAATAGTAATTTCTATTACATATTCCTTTTTTTAATACGTATATATATTTTTTGCCACAAGTAATGTCATTAGTACTTTCTTTCTTGATCATATTAATTTGTTCTACTCTTACTTTTATCTTTTCCATACATTAAATATCTATTTTTCGTTTCCTTTATTTTAATAGCAACCTTGGGCTTCAGGGTTCTATATTTTCACAGAAATCTCTATCCGAAGAGTGTGAGGATCTCGGCGTGGACTCTCCGTCGGCTTCCGAACTGTTCCCGGAGGCTGAGCTACTGTTTGGTAACTCACCGGCTCACGAGGCACACCAACATTCACACACACGTAAGAATACATTGATGACTTATTGGCTCATTTGAACATATTGGCTCATTCTATTTTTTTGTATTTAGAATGAATAATAAATGAATATATCTAGATCGCTGTTTTAGCGATAAGGCCGCCTATTGTACATTTTTCTTTTCTTTATTTTACTCCTATTATTTTTGTCTATATTGGTGTGCAATAAAGAGTATATAAATAAATATCTAACTATTTCATTAAATTTATAATGTAATTAACATTTCCAGCTCAGCCTACAGTCCTCAGTCAATGCGGGATTCCCCAACCGGATATTGACGATCAGATAGCTACGGATCATCTTCTACAACAGGAAATAGATGACCAACAGGATTTAGGGGTGACTCTCGGCCTTGACGAAGGGATAGTGACTGTTAGTGAGGACGGGATGCAAGCCACCATCGCTCTAGATCAAGAAGAGTTCGCTAGATCACATCCCAACACAACCTTTCATACTGAACCAACCGAGGATGGAGAGGTTAGCCGCAATACTAGCTGCGCCCCGCGGTGTTACTCGCGGGATGTAAAGTAGCCTATATGTTTATCCTGGACGTCAGCTTCCTGTATACAAAATTTCATCAAAATCGGTTCAGCCGTTTGAGCGTGAAGAAGCAACAAACATACACACACGCTCACAAACTTTCGCAATTATAATATTAGTAGGATTTTATAATATTATATAATTTATAATCTTGGTGTATTTGTAAAATCATTTATCGGAAAAAAATGAGACCTATTTAAATACACGATATACAAGAATAATATGTAATGCCCTGTTACCGAGCTTTACTCAGTATTTAGGAATTATTAGTATTTATTTTGTGTTTTTTTTTTTAATATTTCGTTTAGGTATTTTTAAGTGAACACGTTAAGAAGACAAAACAATATAAATCAACAATTAATTTCTTAGTCTAATCTCAAAACAAACACTCATTGACTTCCCGGTACTTAACAACGCCTTCTGCTATTGTGTCGTTAAAGCAATTAACAAAGTAGTATTACTATTCGCCAATAGATGTCAGGAAGAGTCATATTTTAAATGACTCCTTTTTGTTATTTTTTTTTTTTAAATAAAATGACATTTGCTAAAAATGATTCCTAGCTAGATCGATTTATCGCCCCCGAAACCTATATAATAAATTTCATGAAAATCGTTGTAGCCGATTCCGATTATACATAAATATACAAGAATTGCTCATTTAAATATATAAGATATATGAAACTAACTCTATGTATGAAACGAAACATAGGTTTAAAGAAGTTTATTTTCCAAAAAGAACAAAGTTCGCTTACAAGGGAAATTTTAAAAATTATAACTACAATTAAGATTACGAATAATAAACAGTAGTGATATAAAACAAGATCAGTGAAATCATCTAATATATGGTTTCTTAATCGTTTTTTAAATATAATTAGAGATTTTGAATTGACAACACTTGGAGGCAAAGAGTTATACAGCTGTGCTCATAATTTATATATTCAAATTTCAGATCCAGCCTTTCACAATCACCGGTCTCAAAGGTCGTCATATAACATCAACAATATTCCACGCTACCCGCGCCCCAGCCACCGTACTAGTGAGCGCGCCGCCCACCGTTATAAGCCATGGGGAGGCTTTCAGGGATGAAGTTAACGATACAAGGGAACTACACTTCACACACACAGCCTCAGCCATCGTACATTCAACCGGAAACGCAACACAAGTCATACGTCGAGTCTGCTGGGACGAAAGACGAGATAATAGATGGATGGACGAACCGGAAGGACTCATAGCCGGAGATGACGCGAAAATGGTGGCCGAAGATAATTCAAGGGACGCAGCATTAGAGTCTATAGCAGGGGACGTGGATGATGAAAATTCAACGCCAGAACAACACAACGAGTTATACTGGGAGTCAAACTCAGCGTCAGAAAAATCTGAAAGCAGACGACCCTTAGATTTCAGCAGTGACAGCGAAAAATGCTGTAAAAGCCCATACGATGAGACAAATTCTACCGATTCAAGTGGTTTAGGTACACACATGAGATTAGATTCGGTTATAAAAGACGCTAGAGGTATTGAAATGAGCGGAAGTGCAGACGGTTCGTCAGCTGATGACGGACTTCCTGTAAGGACATATCCGGCGAAACGATTATACTCTATAGAGGGCGTGGAGCGAAGTATGTCCGGTAAGACAAGGGCGGGGGAAAGGTCACCGGATATTATGGAGGTGCGACGGAGAGCTTCCGGTCGGGGCGTGGTTAAAAGAGGTTGTCATTGCTGCAACGGCTCCCCAGCGCCGCTGAGGACGAAAAAATCGAGACAGAAGAAACCTAACGTGGACTTCCCCACACATTGAAGACATATAGTGATATAATATGGCGGATATATTTCTAGCCAACAACATCCGCGACTGATTGCGATCTCTACTTAACGTGGTTCTTAATATAAATAAATTGTTGACATTGTTTTGTATATAACAATAAACTTAGATTTTGTTCAAATTATATGAGGATTTTTTTTTTGTTGAAGTTTATTGTCGGTTTAGAATTTTTCCTTTAAGGTGTTGTTAATTTTTAAGATCGTAAAACAATCAATACTATCACCGCTCAGTTCAAAATGATTTATTTTTCTTTAAATGTAACTATGACTGTGGACATTTCGATGTTTGTTAAACTACGTGTAATATAACCATATACATATTGTATTAATAATATATTGATTGTATAAAAAATGTATTTGTTAGGTTACCTCCGTGTAGATTAAGATTTTCCTTTTAGTGTTTAAAGGCCATACTAATGTGAATTTGTCTCTTAGTGTTACTAGTGCTAATATTATATCCCTTCTCAATAAATCTAGACTGACGAGGTGATTTCCATAGCCGCTGTACGTTTAGATATTTTATACTTATAATTTTCTATACTGTATTATAATAGTTTCTAATTAATGCAACTTCCATGGGAAATGCACAAATCGTCGTCTCTGTACGAGCTTTAAATGACCGTTTAATTTATTAACACGAGCCATTCGCTTGGCGTATATAGCGCTTTGTTTGCGAGAGGTGGTCTATGTATGAATATGTAGGTTCTTGGATAAATTAGTGTGAATTTAATTAATAGTAAGGATGTAAATAACACTTGTTCCCGCGAGTGTACCGGGACAGTCTAGTCATTAATCGTTATTTCATAGTTTTCGTAGACTCATACTATCGGTTTGATCCGATGTGTTGGCTTCAAGCCATACAGTATTATGTCGCTTGTATATAAATTCTCTTAATAATATAAAACTACCCATTTTGATGGTATAATATATATCGCGCTCTTAACGTTCTCGGTGGTCTGTATATATAAATAAAAAGGGAATAATAGGAAAAATTTGTTTGTGCGATATCTCGTAAATATAGTGAAATGTAATGTTTGTGTGCCGGTAATAGATAATGATCGATCTAGAGCCTAGTGGAGGATGTTACTTCGTATAGTTAAGATAGCGATTATTAGGTAAAGTTATACATCTAATGATCTTCCTTGTATTACGGTTAATGAGATTTTTTCATATCCGACAGAGGCACCTAAATGTCCCAAATTTTTGTGGAAATCCGTGAGAATTTTTGGATTCTAATTTTTTTAAATATGTATTTTTTTCTCTTGTAAAAATATGCCGTTCTTATAGTAAGGTTCGAGTTTTTTATATTTCTGTATGTTGTTATTGTTCTGTATCGTAGATCGGATGTATTCAATATTATTAATAACTATCGAGCCGGTCGCCGGCGGACATTTTGTTATTTTTCGTCGACAAAGTTAACATTTATTATCTGTACATTTAATATTTAGAGGTCTCATTATTTTTTAATTAATCCAGATGTGTTTTGACATTATGTAAACATTATTTTTGAAAGTGCTGCAGAAGAATGATCATTAAAACTTATCTATTAAAGATGTTTTTTATTTTACAATTTTCTCTGTTATATAAATCAAATAATGTGATTAACCAACTTGGAATTATTAAAATAATAATTAACATAATTTGTATTTATTTTGTAGTTATACTTATCAAATAAGATATTAATAAATACAAAAAAAAAATAAGTATTCATTCGTATATAACAGTTTTTAATATTTCAAACATCCTTTATAACCTGTCACACGTCATTGGTCCATTTCCGTTTGTCCTTTATCCTTTTCATGATAGCCAATACTTCCATACGGAATTCAAGTCTCTCATCTTCATTGTATTTCACGACAGAGGGCAGTAGTGACGCGAAGAAAGCTTCATCCTCATTCATTATTCTAGGATCATTACATTCATCAACTTCAACGAAATCCATATCATTTTTATCATATTCTTTCTGTTTTGGTTCATCGTATTCTGATTTCTTTGATCTTTTCTTAGACGGTTCTTGAGGACTTAGTTTTTCGGGTTTCATATAAATATAGGATTCGTCGTTGTTATATTCTGTGCAGTCTTCTTCGGTGGCTGTTACTTTGATTAGGAATTTTAGATGATCGTAAAGCAGGTATTTCCTTCGCGGTCTGCCAGCTTTCGATTTCAATGACTTAACGAAAGTATCACGAATATTTGTCCATTTGTTCAGAATATGTTCCCCTGAAAATTATAAAAAATAATATTGCTTTATTCAGTTGAAATTTATAAACTTTTGTATTTTTTAAATATAAACGTACATAACTGATCTCAGAAACATAAAATAAGCGCCTGTTACATTTAAACTAGCAAACATTTAAGCACTTGAGTTATCGTACATTTGCTTTTTTTTTGTTTTCGTGACGGAGGAGAAAATCGTGACGGATGGTGTAATGGTTAATATTTTTAAATGTATGTCAAATAAAATATACAAACCAGTAAATCTTTTTTCTTGTGACGACATTTCCTCGTATTTCTCTTCTAATAAGGTAAATACTTGTTCCCATGCTGCTCTTCTTTCTAGTCGATCTTTATAAATTTCTGATGTCTTATCCCAAAGACATGGACGTTCTTGTACAGCATGAATTAATGCAATAACATCGTATTTAAATTCCCTCATTTTTTTTAACAATTTCAATATTTATTTCTTGTAAACAACTTGCACTGTTGACACTCTCTGGCCTGACACGTCACTGCGGCGTCAAAATGTCGGATCGGATCGTTTGAATGCATCTCGCTCTTACACTGTATTAAAGAAAGAGATAAAAACACTCAACCGAGGTCACCGACATCCCCCGACATTGAACTGCGTCTCGGCCGTCAATAGTTTCTCATGAGGTTCCTTAATTTAATTTCGTACATATGAAAACTGCATTCAGTATAAGGCTCTTTTAAACGACGAATATTTAACTAAACTATACTTGAAACCTATTTTTGGATTTTCAATCTTTATAATTTTTTCAATGTTCGTCATAACAAGAAAACTGCTTACCGGTAATACATTAATTCATTTATACATTAAAAACAAAAAGGTGATTTTAGACGGCAGTATTGTATTCAACAACTTTTATAGTTATAATATTTTTTAATGTACTGCCGACTATGTACTAACTATGTACTGCCGACTACTTACTGTTATACAAGTACTTACTGCATTTTAGAGACCTTATTAATACAAATAGGACTCATAGACCATACGTATGTACTGAAAGGGAAAATATTATAAAGGATACTACTATGTAATTCGTCATATAAAGTTAATTTAGTGTCTTTTAATATATATTATTAGTTAGATTTAGATAAAAAAGCCAATTAAATTGATAGATATCTTAACAAAGGTCACTATATTTATTGTTTTTGTTACTAATATATATTATTTTAATTCATATAATTAGTTATATATTTCGCATACGTCTTGCAACTATGTTGTAGTTGCGTAAGAATATCCGTGGAGTCATATTTAGGGCGGTTCTAATTAATCGATCTTATAAAACTTGGCACTCGTTTAGTTCAGATTGTGATACAAAAATAAAACAATACATCTTCCGGGTTTTTCATGTGAAGAATCCTCTTGGAAGTTATCTAATAGCGACATTTTTTTTCTTAGTATATTGAAAATGACACAATATCGAGTGGATAGTTTGAAAAAATGACCATGATCAAATAACTTCAAATCTGAGTTTAAATCTGTTGGGATTCTTTAAAATGATTGAAGATATTATTATTAAAAGATTTCTTTATTTAAATATAGTTTAAGAAGTGTGTCTTAACAATATTAAGGATTAGAGAGAACTAACTGTTTATAACCATATTTTTATAGTTGTCCTTTTTACATTATGTAACACTTAGTGTTTTTACGTAGTCTATACAACACTTGAATTTTATACGTCGTAGTTCGAGTACATTAAAGTATGTTTCAACGAAATCTTCTTCTTCTACCTGGCAACTTCCCAGCTATAACCAGGGTCTGCCTTACATGTTGTGAATAGTTTTGGCTATTTGTTTTTACGACCGGCCGCCTGCCTGACATCAACCTTCTTTGGTTGATTTGGAAATCAGCCTTAATCAGTGATGCCTAAATATTCTTAGAAAGTACATATGACTCGGAAAAATCCCATTAGTATTTGCCCGGGTCAGGATCGAACCCGCGCCCTCGGGTATGAGAGGCGGGCCTTTTAACCACTAGGCCACCACTGACTACTAGGTAACTCCTCCGAAATAATAAATCTAATTCAAGGGTAAAAATGTGTTTACCAAGTTATACTTAAGAATGATAACTTTTATGTACTTTAACAACATTTAAAATATAATGTTTTAAAAGAGAATGATTTTGTAGACGAATTTAATATTTCAAAACAAAAGCTAATTGATAGATTTTTCTTTTTTATCTAGATTCTAGATTCTTTAGTTACTATACATTATTCATAGAAATTATATATTTTGTTTAAATATCCCCTTTGCTTTCGATGACAAAAAATATTGTGCATTTTTAACCCATCATAAGTTCTGAACAGATAGATTGACAAGGAAAAAGGCGATATCGTGTTTTGACTTTTGTCTTTGAACAAGTCGTAGTAACCAAAGTATAAATCCTAGAAATTAATTACAACTAGTAAATATAAGCTATAGAAAATATAAATGTTTTTCTTATAGGATAGTTGTAATGATTCCTTGACTGACAATTATATTTTAAGGTTCAAATTGCTCTAGCAATTCTCGTCTTTCATCGATCGGTCTGCGCGCGCAATAAACATGACACTACTGTATTTGTGTCTGAAAATTTAGTGACACCGCCTCATAGGTTATTTCAGATATTAAAATATAAAACGTTTGTTCATAATATAATTATTTCTTTATTTAACGACATTTATATGATAATTAATTTGTTTTGTAATGTTATAATTTGAGTCGCTGCCGGCAAGACCTAGCTAGGTAAGTACTTCAATAAAATATATATAACATTATTTGAAACTGCTATAATAATCTTATTATAATTGTGATTATTATCTTTTTCAAGTCAGATATATAATTTCATACTTTGCGTACTTATAAAAATTTTAACGAATTTCTCCTTTCAGTAGACATTGAGATCTTTGTAAAATTCTTTTGACTAAATAAATTCAATGGCAAATAAGATTTTGCATTAATATTTTATTATAAAACTCTTATTAGATAAAAAATATATATCTTGTAATTAAACGTTAGCATCATAATTCTGATCCACAGAAATGCTATACATTACAAAAAAAACTACAGAATTTTAAAAAAATAAACTAAATTATATAAAATTATAAAATCTAGGTCAGTAGTTTTATTGGTTCGTTAATAAAATAAAGGAGAATTATATATTCTACAAGATATCCGTAACGGTACGTTTACTGTTATCACTGAGAGCTAGTGGAGCTGGTGGAGATGCATTTTAACATTATTCATTGACACCAATAAACGAGTTCGGTTATAACACACCGGTCACGAAATAAACTAACATTTAAATAGATTAAATTATATACTTATATATATATTTAATATTAAAGATAGTGCTGGCATATGTTTCTATCGATAAATTTATCGATACTCGATATATATAACATTTTTGTAATAACTTTTTCAAACCATAAACAACTTCTAGTATATTTTTGGTTAGTTTCTAATTGGCATACATTCATATTTCAGATGTAACTAAAATGAGTTTCAGTATATATTTATGCTATAATTTATACATCAAAGGTTATCCTATCTTTAGCGTTTATAAAATAATGACGTTTTACGACATAAAAAAATAAAATAAAATAACCTTGTAACAAATATACCCAGTAGTTATGTATTTAATAATAAGTATTACATAATAAATAGAAATAGCCTGAAAGAAAAATTATTATTATGTTTCAGTTAAATCATTATTTGCAATTGATTATGTACAGGTGTATATATTTACAGGCTTTATTACTTAGATAACTTGGAGTGAGAATTGGAAAATGTGGACGATTTGCGTACCAGGATGGAGTGCGGTAATGGTGGCAGGAACACTCATCTTATATGGGACTCTGGATGTAGCTTACTTCGCTAGAATGATGTATACTGTAGCTAAAGCGAGGTACTTTAGGAAAAAGACCTGCATTTTGGATACCACTGACGTTCAATGTAAGTTTTCATAATTCAAAGAATAAAATAGAAAACTGTCATTCTTCTTCTACCTGGCAATTTCCCAGTTTTAGCCAGGATGTCCCTCACATGTTATGAATAGTTTTGGCCATTTCTTTTTACGACCGGCCGCCTGCCTGACATCAACCCTCTTTTAGGAATGAATTAATCAGTGATGTCTAATACACTTAGAAAGTACATATGACTCGGAAAAATCACATTGGTACTTGCCAGGATCGAACCCGCGCCTTCGTGAATACGAGGCGGGCCTTTTAACCACTAGGCTACCACTGACTGCCATTGAGTGATGTTATTCTATTCTTTTCCCCAGCCTGGTGTCTGTTAAACGATATAGACACGCTCCTCTATCACATGAACAATGCAAGATATCTCCGTGAGTTGGACTTCGCTAGAGCCGATTTCTATGAGAGGACAGGCTTGTACGCAAACATTAAGGCTGCTGGTGGTTCCGTACTACAAGCGGCCACAACTATCCGCTACAGACGCTACTTGAAACCCTTCACCAAATTCACCATCACATCCAAAGTGAGTCTCCAATCCTATACATTTATGGCTAATTAAATCGTGATCTACTTATGTCAAAGCACGAATTGCTCTCATTTCAATCAACGTTGCGCAACGATTAATTAAGCCAATTTGTGATTAATATTGCGTAAACGATATGCAATTCCTCGTAATGATTGTAGGCGATCTATTGGGATGAGAAGACTTTCTTTATGGAACATGAGTTCATCGGTCCCAGTGGCTTTGTCCACGCCGTTGCGTTGTGCAGACAACGCATCATAGACACATCTGTTGCTGCCATCGCTGAGTTGCTTCTTCAGTTGCATTGCTCTGGAAGTTGCAAGTCTCCTCCAGAGAAGATGCCTTCTGAGGTTTGTAACTAAAAGACATATTACAACTAGTACCTACTTGCCCTAACTGTGAATAGTCATACTATATATAGTGTGGACAGTTTTCATTCATCTTTGCACATTTTACTTCTAACGCAGTCGTGAATGAAAACAGTGTATTTTCGTATGTACATAATTTGAATTTGCAAACATGTATTTAGCATATAGAACTAGGAATAAAGACAAACGTGGTATTCAACTGTGACTTGTCTTTTCTATTCTAGCACAACTTATTGTGTGGCAAATGTATTTTTAAATATTTAAATCAATATAAGTCGTGTTGTTAATTCATGGTAATTGTTTTCTTTCAAACTTAAATATGATCAGTAAATTTGACGATCAAGGGTAGGTTCGGTCTTATAAAGCGAAGTTTCTAGACTTTTATTTTGGTATCAGTGTAACAGATTAATTGTTATAATATAATTTTCAGCTCGAGCTATGGGTGCAAAGTAACGAAGTTAGCTCCGCCAAACTCCGGCCAACTGTCGCCCTTCCTATCTTAGAGCCGCTTCACACTGGCTGCGGGGAGACGATCCCGAACGCTTCAGAGTGAGGTCAGCTTAACCCGGACGAGGAACTGAGTTCTAAGAAGCACCAGTAGACGTTGGTCCGTGTCCGGGTTTCATATACGCTGTTTAAGCTACAAGCGCTGTCTGGAAAGGGCTTAATATAATTTCTTGATACACCTAAGTGATATTGCATGGCAATTAGTCGAAGGTGGCTGTTTAGAATCTTATATAAATAATAATAAAATTGTGAGATTATAAAGATTTGTAACAATTATGTTATTTTCTCATATTAGAGTTAATCATTCGTAACTTTATTATTAATTGCTTTTATTTTATATGTATATGTTTTACGCACAATGGTTTACTAAAAAATTCTTTTATTTTTTTATAATCACGTTCTAAAACATATAGTATGAATGCTATGTCTCAATTATTTAACAATTCTGAACGATTTTATTGTTAAAAGTTTCAAGAATTCCTTAAAATGGAATATTTTGTTAAGTATATGAAAAGTAAACCTAAAGATAATTATTGATAATCATATAATTAATAAACAAAATGTTCGTATATTTATAAAAACCACGTGAGTTGTTATATTAATCATAAATTTTAAATACAATTGGTTATCTGAATCATTTGAACTTGCTTGTGTGAACAAAGTATTAATATGGCGTCGGAAGTATGACGGCAAGATATAAATAGAAATTAATGATAAAAATTATATTTAATATAAATAAATGTTGTAAACATCTTTGTTATATTAAAATAACACAAATTCGATAATGTTTTTTTTATTATTTAATTTATTTTATTTCATTAAATCTTTTTTTTAAATTTAAATTTGTGTGATTAGTATTTAGTAACTAACATTCCAAATAAATCTTGCATTACTATAATGGAGTATAAAATACATTTAAAATATGTTGATGTATATAATATCACGAATATTAAAATAATATTTATTGGGTATAATTGTTTTATTATGTTAATATTAAATATTATTAAGAAATATAAAAAATTATAGTTTAGATATATTTGCAAGAATTTATTAACGTATTTTTACACTACACACATTCCAACCCGTTATCTTTCAAAAAGGCGTAAGAAAATCAAAATTCGTTCAATAAGACGTATTTATTTTGACATGATATATAAGTTCTATTGTTGTAAAACAATGCTAGCAGTATCCTTACTATAAGTTGCTTAACCACACTAGTAGTTCATGTAGTTATATGCCACACAACTTCGAACGTAGTTGTATGAATTAAAAACTTCAAACGCCTCGTATGTAGTGTGACAATGCAGACTTAAGTCTACAGTTAGCTCTGATTAGACCTCTAGTTCTAGTATGAGAAAAATCATTAATGATTTTAATAAACTTTTTCTCCTAACTACAAGATCTATTTTAGTAGAATGAAATAATATATACATATTTTTTCCCTCTTTTTATTGATTACAATAGATTTAAAAACCTTATGGATTTCATTCTGTATTTTCATGCTCAATAGTTTTTTACTATCTGTTGTAAGTTTCTCATTTATATGTCTTGACGTGACACTTACAGTATTACCGTTTTCTGTTCTATCTCCATTCAGAATTCATTTAAAAGAAAGTATGATAATCTATCGTTATTTTAATCAAATAATATATATTATATAGTGCTTGTTAACTTCGTATAACATATTGTATGTTTATATTATTGCCAAAATATATCGCAACCGGTTCATTTGCAATGTTCCGCTCCATTACTTGTGTTCTTGAAGTCCTATTGAGTCAAACTGCCGGTAATTTTTTTCTATAAACATTGCTGTTATTGTATATTTCGTCACTGATTGCGATAACTTAACCAATGTTATAAATGAGAGGTTATGTGACGATGTATGTATGTTTGTATCATGTTGTAATTAGTTAAATATTGTTATGGAACTTGACTTTTTTAATGTGTATAATAATAATGTTAAGATTTATGTTTTCAGCACTTTAAGTGACTGTATTATGAGCAAAATTTTCTTACTACTTTTTGCTTTAAAGCAATTTAGTGGCGTCGCATATCTTAGTTTCGTTTAAATGCAATAATTTAAATGTTCTTATTAAATCTTAATATTTTTTAACAATTATTCTGAATGTAAGTATATTTTGTTCTTGTTCTAATTACTCATAACATGTACGCCAGTTTATATGCCGACACAGTAATTAAGATATGTTTAACATAGCATTATTTCTGTCGCAAGCACCTGTACTAAAAGGTTATTTATCGGGTAAAAATAAAATTCATCATTTTAATTGTAATGTACACAATTTATTCATATTTCTTATACAAAGATAATAAATTGTAAAATCCTCTTTCACGGTCCGAATAAATAAATACTTAGAATAACTCCTTTCAGTCCTATCACATGCCCTTAGGGCAGTAAGGAGTGCTTACAATACATATCAATACTTCGATCTAGCAATAGGATTGATTATAACGCCCCAACCACGGACACAACTCGACAGTGAAAGCTCAACACGCCAAGCGTTCAGTCACATGTAATACTCATTAATGCGATTCAATCGCGACGAGTGAGAACCCGTGGTTGGGGTCACGAATGAAATAGCATTTTATTTAACAGTACAAAAATATTACTTTAATGTATTCTATTTTAAGGTAGGTATGTATTGTCCAAGGCACTGGTGTAACTGATTTAGAAATAGCTTCTTAAAAATAGTTTTGCGATATCATGACAGCTAGAGGATCTATATCATATTTTTGGTTTGGAACAAACAAACGGACATTCCGAACGAAGAACTATACATAGAATGAGTTCCGAGTTGGAATTAACATTACTTAGATCGACTTAACACTAACTTAACACAGAAATAGTCTTTAGCCATCGATTATACAACGGAATCTTCGAATAGATGAAACAGATCTACTGCACATATAATAACATAAAGTACATTACATACAGCTCAACACTAAAAATGCAACTTTTATTTTAAATCTATCACTGAGTAGACGAGTTTTATCTGCTCGAAAAGTCGGCAAACCGAACGGGTTAGTCTCATGCTCAAAGTCCAAGATACACATACGACTATAGGAAGGATAACACACAGGCTCAGCGACTTGGCCGCGTACAGCTGCACTCTACATATATATATTCATCTCTTTACAACGTGGTAACTTCGACTACTAGGGAAGGGCGTTGAGACAGTTTGTACGAATAAGATCGACACGGGCGGCGCCGGGCCGCTAGCTCAGTGTTCCAGGGAGCGCGACTTGTTCTGGTGCATCATGTTCTTCAGCGTGGCCACCTCCGTCGCGAGCCGCGCCAGTTCAGCTTTAAGGTGCGCGTCCTCTTCTTCTGCCAGCCTCTCGTCGGACCTCGGAGGTCTGTATTCGACTCCTAGTGAGATCCCTGAATCTCTTTCATCGCTTGAGCCCTCTCCGTCCCACGACGGTGAGGACCTCGGGCCAGGTTCTTGTTTAATGTGTTGTAGTGAGAGGAGGGCGCTGGCGACGTCTTTGTCACCGAGGTGTGACTTGTGGCGGAGTTTGAGAGGGAGGCAGTTGTTCTCGGGCGCGTACTGTTCTGTTGTCTCGTCTCCGGAGCCCGAGAGAGAGGAGAGCTCGTAGGGGGAGGGCGCGCGGCGCGGGCGGGACAGGTTGAGGACTGAACCGGGAGGCTCGAAGTGAGATGGATGTGAGTAGTATGCTTCAGGCGCGGGGAGACGCTCTTGATACTGTTCGGGCGCGTGTTGAGGTTGAGGAGAGGGAGGTGAGGCGGGCTGGACCGGCGCCGGCGGAGCTTGTGCAGGTGAGAACAGAGTGTTTGTGGACAGTTTACTCCTCTTCGTTACACAGAGAACCTGATCACAAGTCGGTAATGTGGCCAGTACTTGATCGATGCTGATGAGTGTCTCTCCACAGATGCCGTACTTCTCTTTGATAGCGTCCAACTGAGCCTTCAACACGTGGTTCTCCTTGGACAGTTCTACAACACGTTGTTCGAGCACCATGTCGTTGAAGCGCCGCTTCTCCCGGGATCGTTTGGCGGCCTCGTTGTTGCGCCGTCTTCGATCCCAGTATCCGTCGTCCTTCTTGCTGTCGGGGATGAATTCTCTCTGTTTACGTTGTCCGAAGAAATCCTTCCTCTTTGAGAAGTCGAAGGAATTTCCGTAGTCATCTCCGTTGCTGGATGGTGGTCCTTGCTCCATTGGGAAGTGTGGGGAGACAGATAGGCAAGCGCGTGGTGGCTGTGCGATGCGTGAGGGTGAGGGTGGCGGCACTAGCGGCGGCCCTCCTCCAGCGTTCAGCAGCTGCTGCTGACTGAGGATGAACTCGGCGACCATGTTTCTGCGGACGACGCCTGGCCCGCAAGGATCTTCAGTGTGGTTCTGCAACAAAAAGAGATGTTACGTTAATATGATGTTGCGATTCTCTATGCCTTACAAAATACGCTTGCAAAAATTATGTCGCAAACTAATGCGTAACTTTTACACGTGGATCGCTTATGTGTAACGCAGGTTGCTACATTATGACAATATTCCCTATATTATAATAAAAAAAATATACATGTATATTTACTTATAAATGATTACCTAAGTTCGTTTATTATGACAGGACAAAAGACGATTAATTTTTAATATATGAATCGCGTTATGAAGTGTACTCGAACAATTAAGTTTGTACTGAATTAAAACGCACGCCTGAAGGCATGTGCCTAGATTGGCTCGGTCGCTGAATAAGCGGTTAACAGTTTCTAAAGAAAAATATTTAGATTTCGCAAGAGACTCACGTTGTGAGCGACGTGGACCGAGAATGCCGACTTCATGAATATTATTATATGAAAGATATCTATCGCATCGGGTCATTGACCTCGAACATCGACTTCTGAAACTACCTACACTTACAATTATATCGATTAATACAATTCTCTATCGATTAATATAGAACAAACACCGGAAGTATTGTAAAACACCAAAAACTATTGTTATCAATTACAGTCGAGGATAACAATGAAGGATCAAATAATTACCCATTGTGACAAAACTATAAAAGTGTTCGCGTACGTTTTTTGTTAATAGTCTCCCGGTCACGTTATTATACACGAGTTGATATCGAGCACAACGTGAGAGTTCTTTCTAAAGCTGATTATATGCGTTTCCGAGATCATTTGCATGTCATTTTAAGCATACCGGGAGAGCGGACACGTGCTCCTAGGCGTTTATACGAAATTATTCACAATTTCCTCCTTATGAAATTCGAAAATGATCATTAGAGCCGTCCAGGAGTATTTTAAGATGTTTTCGAACGTTTTCATTGCATTCTAAGTTCTTTATACAGGGTGACTGGTGAATTACTATCGATATTTGAGGACGTGATTTGTAACAATCATATATGACAAAATAAAAATTAATATAACATAAATATTAATAAACTTCTAAGTAAAGTTAACCAAAAGTTATGTAATTAATTACGCATCGTGTAAACACCCTACAGATTAGGTATACACACACACACACACACACGAGTGCGGCGGCTTTGTGTTGTATCAGCACGCCGCCGCACGCGTCCACACTTGGAACACTTGGAACGTGTCCACACTTTATTTATTTACACGGAAATTTGGTCAAAAATTAAGTACCTATTTTTTTTACATAATTCGAATGAGAATCATGTACCGAGTATTCTCCTTAAATATTGATAGTAATTCACCAGTCACCCTGTATAACCATCGTTATTCACATACTTGATTCATGTTAAATATTATATTTTGTATCTTGAATTATTATCAGGTTAAAGACTTTATTCACCATGTAATGATTTTAGTAATTTTAACTCAGATATACGACCGAATAGTCATACTGGCATACTATAACTTAATATTGCTCTTAGTTATATTGTCATTAGATATAAATTGTTCTTATAAAGGTATAAAGTTTAAAGTAAAAGGTCTATGTAGGTAACATCAGATCCGTAACCCGTCAACCAGACACGAGCAGGTTGCTTTGGTTACGTTCGGTGTCAGTAGGCCGCCCTAGATGCGCGTGCGCACCCGTTACAGCTAACTGTTCGATTAAAAGTCAGCTCTAATTGTTTGAAATGTCAGCGCTATAATTTCTTTTTAAACCGACTTATTTTATATACAGCCAGTGTTTAAGTTTTATTTTTACTAAAGAGGTTTTAATCTTTGTCGTTTAAATATTAACAGTTGATTCACCGTACGCCGGACCGCTATTATATTTTTGTACAGTTATTGAATAAACATATCTCGCCTGACCTGAAGGTGTTAATCTTTACAAGGAAGGCAGCTTTACAATATTTACACGTCATTAGCATATAGAATTTTCTTCTATATATATTTGTTAAAATTGTTATACAGATTGATGTAAGTCATTAAACAATAATAATTTAACATGAACGTAACTGCTCCATTTAACTTAATAATAACCGTTAGTTGACGCTCGGCAGCGCAAACGGTTATCTGTAAAGAACGGTCAGTTATATCGGAATAATTAAAAGATGAAACAATATTATAGCTAATAAAATTTCATATAGATCCAAGATTGTATTCTAACAGTGAATTATTTGATAAAGTTATGTTATTTACAATCGAATCGAAGTTAACGGTTTAACCTTCGGAATCGTTTGTACACAGTTAGCTAGATGTACTTTCTCATGGCCCGTTAGCCAAAACCTGGCATACGGTACAAAGTTTTTGTGCCCCGAAAACTTGTTATGAAATGTTTCGTCATCACGCCAAGGTTGGCCCGGCGCGGCGTTGGGAAACACTTGCCATACTATGACATAGAATGTGAATGCAACATTTTCATGTGATTTAGTTTTAGATTCATATTAACTGACTTAAAATGCATTTTATATAGTAACTTTTTGGTTGGTTAATATGTTATGTAACTATTTCTTTTTTTTTATTTTCCGTTCTACGACTGATATTCTTAAGTTAACTGCGTTTAATTTTCTATCTTGTTTGTTCTGTAATAAGGTTTTATATAGTTTTTACTTAATAGGATTGTGCTAGGTTATGTAGTAACCTTCACATTGAACTAGATGACACGTGGTCAAATCACGTTGCGCGCGCAGTAATAGCCCACACGTGAGGGGGGCACGTGTACAATTTTATTATACCACGCCATTAAAGTTTTTTTTCTCTAATATTGTTAAATAAGTAAATGTATACAAATTACCGATTACATGTATGTAATGTACATAAAAAACACTCATCAAGTTGACTCAGAGCTGATAAACTCATATTTGGTGTGTTACGTAATTTATAACATTAATGTATGTAGCGCATCACCGGGCGTTCTTTATTCAAATTGTTTTTTTTTTTTTTTTTTAACTGCCAGCCGACAGTCTGTTGTATACAGCCTGACCTTAATCGTGATTGTCCTGCGACACGTTTTCCTCTCCGGTCACGCGGCTATCCCCACGTGCACTTATACTCACGTTGTTTGCGTAACACGGCACGTTGGTCTCAACTAATACGATTCCCTAATCAACTAATGGCTACCCTCGTCTTACTAATTACTAATATTCGTTTGTTCATGACATCCATCGTATAATTTAAACGCTTATTTGTGTTGTATTTCAATAATGCAACAGTCTAAAGTAATCTTGACATTCACGATGTGACGTCCAATAAGAATTAGCACTTAACGTTCGAGTTTTATTGCGAGCGTATTGCTCTTGACCTACCAAAGACAATTGCTGGTAATATAAACGTCCATAGACAATGTCAGCCATCTTAGAAAAAGTAGAGAAAGTAGTACATCGGTAACTTTCCACACGCTCGCGACAACTTGGCGGGAAAAGTAGGGCGGGCGCCATCTTTTATATTTTTCCGTTGAACAACGTTATTGTTTGTTTTAAATGTCAATTGAATATAATGTCTGCTCGTGAATTTAGATTATTATCTTTTCTCTCTTCCATATAGAAATGTTTTTAAAACATCCGTTGTCTTCTTGTTTTGTCTGCAAAAAATTAGAATCGTCTAGAGCTTTGTCCTTTTGACAGATGATTCCAAAGAGGTCGCATTTTTGGACGTTCTTCAAGCATTTTTCGCCGAAAACCGCGTATACTTGACATATATTCGCATTCCCGTTCAGCGAAGGCCCAATTAAAGCGTGCGTTATTTTGGGGACGGCCTCTCATTCCCGATAGCGGTTTGATGTCAAGGTGTCGTGTCGTAATCCTGACGATAAACGACCATTATATATGCCAAGGTTCGACTCCTTGTGTTCCGGCAGGGGCTTCCCATACAGATAATATTAATCTGTACCATAATTATACCTTGACAATATGAATTTATTTTGAGTTAATACATTTCTTTTGACATATGTGATTACTTTCGCAAAACCGAGCCAAGTTCTTCCGAGACAAAGACATTACTTCTAACACCGACCTTGCTCTACACAGTTAATTGCTGTATTATTAAGAAACACTTAACCTATTTCAATGTTCTAGATTCTATGAATTTATATATGTATTGCATCAAATAAGAATTGTTTCAAGGAAGCATCATAATTGTAATGAGTTTTCAATGCTCATTGTTGATATTTGGCGCCGGTAGTATTTACGCTGGGCTAGTTCTGTGCATGAGTCATTGGGAATTACCGTTATCGATTTTATAAAGTTAAGCGTTTAATTATATAATTAGAATATCGTGCTGTTCTAATTTTGAAAAAACATTAGTACATAATCGATTTCTACGTTTTTTTTTCACAAACGTCGAAGTATGCAGTAAGTAGGTTAGTTACGCTGTGTGCGAGATAAAAAAAATATAGGTCAAGTTATCTTTGTATGTCCTCGTATCCGATGGAATTATCGTCTGTTATTGCGCTTAAAAATACTTACGTAATATAAACGAGATAAAGGTGGTGATAAAAAAAATTAGGGCAATCCGTATACGATAAGCACGGTGTTTTGAAAACCAGGGTTATATGGCGTAGTGTGGATTATAATTCACATCGAGTAAGGCATTACTTAAATGCATGCGGGCACGACCTCACAATACCTTCCGCACAACCTTGCCTCAACTTCCCGTATTACATCACTTACTGATAATGCACTTTACTTCTTTGTGTCTATTATTAGAGTGTACTTGTGTGTGTGTGTGTATTTATTATTTGTATGTGTGTGTATTGCAGTATTGCGCAACGCCGCCCTAGGGATATTGCGTCATAGCTAACTGACCTTTACGATCGATTCAAGTCTCTGTTTGAATTGTATTGTCCCTCTAAGGAACTTTTTTAATATGTGATTCGAAAGAAAATTAATGTTATTTTATTTGATATATAGTTAGGGTTCCGTACTCTGGAGGCGAACGCACTTACGGAACCTTGAACCAGTTGTGTAAGCGTTTACAATAGCTTACGACACA